TCGCGATTTGTTTGATTACAAAGACAAAGCGATACCAATCTGCACAGTTTTTATTCGTATGCCTTACAAACTCACCATCGATTTTTTTTAATGCCATTTCTGTTTGTGAGTCCACTCAGAAATGACTTCTCCCGCCTAGTGACAGACTCTTACCCCCTTATTATAAAACAAGATTTATCTTTAGTCCAGGTTTAAATCATTGAGTCGGGTTTTGAATTTTGAATCTTATTGTCATCTACCTTCAATTCGAAATACAAAAACTGGCTCTATGGTTTAGTCCTAGACTAAAGTAAAACCTTGTTTTGTAATAAGGCGGTTACTGACTAAAAACCGCCCGTTCCTATTACTCTAAGCTGAGGCCGCGGTGCCTTATTTTGCCCATCCACCCCGGCTGATTTAACTCCACTGTTGGCATAATGGTTGGACACGAATTTTTGTTATGGATCCGAGTCTGATGTGTATTATAAATTGTAAGTTTGTGCACTCACCCCTGGCGGGAGAAAACTACAATGTTAGGTGTTACAAAAACAAAATGAATTTAAATCTTGTCTAGGATTCCATATAAGGACCTCGTGGCCAGAAGTCACACTTGAAAGCACTGAACTAACAAGGTGTCTAATCAAATAATATTATTATACGATAGGTACTGTTAATGTAGCTATGTCATGTACGCGGAATTTCCTTGTACTTAAGTATAATATATAAATTGGGCAATAAAGCTGGCCATCTATAATAATTAATAATATAATTGTTGAAAAAGGAAACTAGTTTGATGTATGTATCGAGTTGCCTCAATGATTCGCTTTAATCGATTGTTAACTTTCTCTCACGAATCGAAACTACCATAGATAAATATAGACATAAAAAAAAATGTGCAATTTACTCGTGTGAAATAAAAATGAACCGTGAAATCACGGTTGACGTCGCGGACGTATTATTAGTTTATTTAATTAATTAATAACCTACATAATTCCGTAAACCGACTTAACGTATATTTATTGCAAAGTAAATTAAATTCTCAATAAATCACTACTGAATGAATGTTCATGTACAAAGTGATTAATTTCAAACAGGAAAATTAACGCACTGCCATTTTCGAGTAAGCACCAGCCATTAACATAAAAAGGGAATAAAATAATTATTAATAAATTTCTTTTTTATTAACTTCTACAACGCCACGGGGAGTTCGATTCGATTTATAAATTCAAACGCGTTCGGGCGAAAATGGCGGGTAAATAAAAACGGCCAGTAAGTAAGTTATAAATGGTTTGTTAACATATTTGTAGTTATCGATTCTTTACAAGTATTTTTGTTATTCGTCAGCAACAGTTTCCTATTTCCTAGTTTTCGTGACGTTCGCTGATGCTTTTTACATTAACATTCGGAGTTTTTTAGTTACAGAAAATTGACACTTTCGCTACTTATTTACTTTGTTATAGTACGTTACTTGTAAGCGCGCGTTTTACAGATAAAATTTATAGTTAGTACATTTATTGAAATCAAAACTAAAAATTTAGATGCTATGAAGTACGAAAGGTACTCCTAGAATTTAAACTCTCTTTCCTGTAAGCTTAGATCGTTTTTTGAGGAGGGGTAGTAATCAAATGACTTTTCTCGCCGCAAGAATAGGTAATTGTCAGACTTTTACTGACTAAAATCCCAAGTACCTTCTCCTGCTCTAGGCCGAGGCCACAGTGCCTTATTGCGCCTGACCCTGGCTGATTTCGATAAAAAAGTCTGGTCTACTAAATTTGGACCCGAAACAACACCGTGATTTACTCTGCTGCCAAGGCATTTTACCAACAGCGCATGATGTAGGAAGACAATGTTTTACTAAATCACATGATTTATAACAAACTATACCGTTGTACTTGTTAATATAGCAGTAAACTACACTTTAAACTCAGTTAATCGTCCGCAAAAGAATATTCCTTCAGTACTACACGATTTTGGCACAAATATTTGTAGATGTTATATTATTAACCGACTTCTTTTTAAAAACAGTTGAAGGAAATTCTCGAGTTATTACTGGTTACCAGCACCGCTTAATAGTTACAATTACAAACACATAAATTGATTTCCATTGAAGTGCATTCATTATTTATTCCAATAATTAGCATTGAATAAATTTACTGGCTATGACTGTTCGTCACTTTTTTGCATGTATTTACTTAAACGCGATTAAATGCTTTAATGTGTATGTATTGTTTGCGGTATTTATCGCTTTGTGGTAAAATAAATATTGTGTATTAATTAAATAAATTAAAATTAGGAATAATTTATTATTTTTTCTTTGACATTGATAAATCATTGTTTGATAAATACTTCTTACTTACAGAACTTGGTTAGTATAAGCTGGTATTCCATTTTTAAACTAGGTACGAAAAAATAAGAATTCGAATCAAGAAGTTATGAATTCATTTATTTTACTATTCAAAATTAACATAATTCTATTCGCAGAGCGTTTATCTAGAATGTGTATGTCAGTATTTACGTTTCAGTGTACAGTACAGATATTTATTTTTTGTCCACGCCACTTTTTGCACGCGACAAAAATACCGCGGCCGTGAAAAAAATTACAGAGTCATTGAACTTGATGCCGTGTATAATCTGTAGCACAAATAACTAATAATTATATGCAGTAAATAGTTACTTATTAAACGAATTATTGCATTAACTGTAGGTCTGTAATCTGCGTTGAGTGTTTGTTTACGGAATTTCAATAGGTACTGATTTATTTCGTGCGAATTCATATTTTTTTTCGATGCATATTGACAGTTCGTTTTGCACCGATTTGAAAAGCGTGTTCGGTCAACGTCAACGGCTCGGTAATCGATTAGTGTTGTGTGCACATGTATTTAGTTCGGTTATTATTACCTAGTATTTTCGCGTTACAGTGTTAATGTTCTAGAACTAAATATATCAGTCAGGGAAATCTTGAGTATTGTAAATGCGCCGTTCAGATTACTTATTGTGTAATAGTCAATCGTTTTTCGAATTCAATTGTTTTTCGAATGTTCGCATAGGCGATTCTCTGACAAAAAGTTTGAGGTCCAAGAAGGATTGTTGAAAATTGGCGCATTACCTACGTATGTACAAAGCTTCTCAAGGATAAATTATACATAATGGACATTTAATATGTGTATGCCATTTTTTCATATCCCGCTCCATTCTTGTGGGCAAAATCATCAAATGATTTCTTCTTCTCCAGGTGAGGTGAGTGTCAGACACTTACTGACTAAAAACGTTCCTTCTCCTGCTCTAGGCCGAGGTCGAGGTCGCGGAACCTTTTTACGCTTGCATTCCATGATCAGTCGCTTTAGACCTTTATTTTTCAACTAAAGTGGGATATTTTTCATAATAACAGGGTTAATTTAATAATTATATTCCTTGAAGTCTGACGGCATCGCATGATTTTGTTTCTTCGAACATGGATTTATAAACAAAAGCTTGCCAATGTCATTGCCACAAATAGTTTACCATTCATCAGCACATTGACCTAGACTACACTTGGCGAAGGATGTTTATTATGACCTATATATACATAGGAGCCTAATCCCTATTACCTATATTTTAGGGTCGTAAACGGCGTATCTCATAAATGGCCGGAATTTTTAAGTAATTCTCTCAACATTATGTCTTACTCTCTGTCTAAGATATCATCATTGTAGTAGCTTGGCGCTGAGTTTGATAGGAGTCAAAGTGAAAGTCAAAAGTCAAAGTCAAATAATTTATTTCAATAGACCATTAAAGACCTATTTAAGAAAAGTTAAATATTAATTTCAACAAAAAAAAATCAGTTTATCGTCTGTCTACCCTAGTGAAGCTATTTGCTCGTTTCAAAAAGTGTATATTGCTATGGAAAGGAACGAGCAAGATACTCCATTGTTCAACTCTTTTCCAATCAGTTTCACAATCTAACTCTTTTTCACATTAATTAGATAGCTCATCTATACTATAACTAATATAAAAAAGCTGTAGAGTTTGTTTGTTTGAACGCGCTAATCCCCGGAACTGCTGGTTCGCATTGAACTGTGTTTTTAGTCCATTTATCGGGGAAAGCTAGGATAAAACATCAAGCTACGATCTGAAGGAACAGAGCGGGTGAAACCAGCTAGTCGTCTCTAACCATGTCAAGTGAATAATTCATTAGAAGTAGGAGTTTAAAAAAAGTATTCTGGCCAAGCCCAACCGATAGTTATATTATAATGACTTTAATGTTAACTTAGAATTTTAAAATATCTAACAATTTACAAGCAGATCGGCTATGTTAGATCTATTTTAAAAAAGTAATCTGTCACCATGTAACTACAGCTTTTAATGCCTTAAACAGGCGTGCCTTGAATTTGCAAATAACAAAACGAATCTTGTCTTTGTCACTTGTTTTTTTTATACCCGCCATATATAGGAAATTCAAATTTTAATTCTAAAAGATGACGTTATTAAAAACAGTGAGTCACTGAAACAAGTCGTTTATAAATGCGACGGCAGGACACCAAAGATATCTTAATCAATATTTTTTTTAATAAAGTTTCAATCTTATTCTTTTTGTAATAAAGTTCATAGTGTGTCAATGGATTTTGTCATTTAAATATAGCTTCATCTGCGGCCGTATACTTTTTATAATAATAGTGTTACGACCAGCTATTACGAAGTTTGAAGCATCTGCTAATAATATTAAATGTTCGTATAAACGACTCTGTATTAATAATACACCGATACCTTCTAAAATATCTTTATGATAGATATTTTGATTGGCAGTTCATCTTTCGTCATTCCTAATGTCATTCACCTTGATTTAAAATCGTTAAAATGGTTTGCTGCATGTGAACTATAAAAACCGTGTTTTTTTTGAACAGTTTTTTGTTGCGTGGGATGATTGGGATGGCATTATCAGGAAAATTGAAAAATTGGCTGACTAAAAACCCAATATTTAAAGCAATATCTAAAATACAACAATCTCAGTTAGAAAGACCACATTATCATCTTTTTTTTTTCAGAATTCTTCAGGCGGTTGTTGAAGCAATCACGAGAGGAGTTCCACATGATGTTCAAGAGAACGTACGGCATGATCTACGAACAACACTCGTATGTCTTCGAACAACTTTTTGAACAACTTGAAAGGTAAGCAATGTATTAAGAACTCTCAACATTACCTATTTATTTTTAAGTCGATCACCCAGTAGGATTCTATTTGTATTTGAATTTGAAAATGGAATGATGTGATAGAAAAGAGAGGGACTATTTAGTCGAACAAACGGATCTAATGGCAAGCGATCAGCGCCTATCAACGGAAGGAGCACAAGTGCGTTGCCGGCCTTTTTATAAAGATTGTGTTCTTTTTTTGAAGTTTTGAAGGTTTCAATATGAAAGAGAATGTATGTTGTAATAAGTGTTATATTGTTAATGGAAGATGATACATTTGTTGAAACAATTTTCGCCAGGACACGCACGCTTTTCATAAATATAAATCCTGTGACTTTAAACTAGTATAGGTTTTCTCAGTTAATTCACGTAAGTAAGTCTTTAAGTTCAATAAATTGTGTATGTGCCACATGATAGTTACTATTCACAAAGAGATATAACCTTCCAACCTTCAAGAAACTACTTCTGGAAAGGCCCGCAACACGCTTGAGGTTCTGTAGTGCTGCAGATATTCATATGCGGCGCAGATCACTTACCATCAGGCCTCCTATTCCATAAAAAACTATAGAAGCATACATAATCCATTCAATTTTATCCTAAGTATCCAAATGTATTAACACCAGCATATAGATCGCTCACGTGTCATTGGTGTCATTAAGATTATGAGAGACCAAGAGTAATTGATACCAAAATATCAAAGACATGCACTGTTCAAAAACTGTAATAAAAAGTTGAAAATATTTAATTATGATTCATCTTACTGAGACCCTTAAGAAACCTAATGACATCATCGCCAATCATTAATATCATACTCTATACAGGATACTGACATCATCATTCGTGACTACAGTCAACCAGAGTCACTTTGCCATTCACATTTAGATTTATTTTCAGCGCATTTAGGCATTAGAAACATTCCAAGTTTGGAACCCCAACCTCCAATGAGACTTTCTGCTAGTCGAGTACTTACTTTCTATCATTATTTAACCTCCAGTGACATACGGTGAAGGAAAACATCGTAAGGAAAGCTAGACTTATAATTTCTAATTAAGTATACAGATAAAATCGCCTTGACCAAGAGGTCTTTGCTTAGCAGTGGCACTTAAAGGATGATGATGTATTATGATGTATCGAAATTCAGCTCTAAGAAAGCTAGCAAGAAATGTAGTTCTGGTCTCAAGACCTTTAAATCATAAACATAACCCAGACATTCAGTAGAATATTCCAAGAAATAATACGTCTTGTCACATCATTATGCAATGCAGTAAGTAAGAAGAGAATTATAAGGTACTTGGAACTTAAACTATTTCTGCTGTTTCTCTCATAATAAATTCTAGTCATACAGTCTTGTATTTCGCTCCGCAAATTTCAAACATTACGCGAATGAATTCCACGTTTTCTTGCTGCACAATACACTACCTACAGTAATTCCGAAATTACTTCGTGGAAACGTACATAATTCTGATTTGTCAAAGTAATAAAAACTTAACATTTCGATGACAGCTAGAACAGAGTTAGAAGGGAATCCTAATTCTGATCATGACGAAAGAAAATGCCATCTTCATAAGACTAAAAAGTTAGATGAAACACGATAAAAGTAAGAATCTAATATAACAAAAAGTCTAAATCTCAGGATTAGGTACAATGCCGAAGACCAAAGTTCACGCAAATCCCCAAAAGCACGCTTGCCAAAACCAAGCGCGATCTCTGCCTTTTTGTTATTAAAAGAAAAAAGTTAAAATATTCCAGCGGCTTATTGCGGGCTTGGTAAAAAGAAAAAATCCGAGATGTTTATGAGTCCCTTACAGTTTATGGTCCTTGATAAATAAATATATTGCGAAAGTTTTGTTTGTCTACCTTTTAAAGTACTTAAAGAACCGTTTATGTAAATGTGACCCAACGTGGATTATTTTCTTTGAACCTTAAATTAAAATGGTTTGATCTGATTGCACTTTTATCTTCATCATTTAAATGGTTAGCAGTCAAAAATACAGCAAAATCTTTAAAATGATCTTTCGGTAGTGGTATTTCGAAATTATCGGTTCGAATTTCGAACCGATATGTCCTTCAAACTTTCAAAAAACGAACGTACTCATTCTTAGAACTCCGGAAACGAACTTACTCCTCTAGTGTTGCAAGTGTCTATGGGGGAAGCTGATGAAAACAAATGATTTTATTTTCAGGTTTTGTGTGCAATAATTGTGTTTTATGATTACATCGCTGATATGTAAATAACTTATATTAAAATAATGATTCTTTTCTTCAGGTACTACACGCGAGGTGATACCAACTTCGATGTGATGATGGACGGGTTCTTCAGCATACTCTACAACAAGATGTTCACCGTTCTCAACTCACAATACGAATTTGACGAGAAGTAAGTACTTACAAGAATTGATTTCCTAAAGTTAATTTATTGGTTTTATTTTAATTGTTTTCTTAAGCTATTGAAATTCTCAGTAATTGGTAGGATAGAGTTTCATATTATACGTTATATTTAGGCCTCAACCCAATTATTAATTTGAGATTTGACGATTACATCTGATCTGATTTTGAAAGTGATCCAAAAGAGTAACCATAGAGTTTCTTTCTCGTTTTTCTCCATCGGAATCTACACTTTGCAACGAACAAATGGCTTTACAAAGAAGACTTACCGACAGCAGATTTTTTATATATTTAAATGTTAGTTTGAAGTTCAAAAGTGCTTATAAGTAATAGTCTGCAATGACACAATGAAGTTGATATACCATACCACCCGCAGTCAAAAATACCCAATATCGACACTAGACCTTGAATCGCTATTCCTATAACTATGACGAGTATTAGCTCATTCTAACCAGGCTGTAAATTCATCAACCGTTTTGGTAATGATTGATGACCAAACACACATACGTACTTTATTCTTCCTTTGAAGATTTATTGTCGCGGGCTCGTGGCCATTAAGAAGCTTAATTTAGATGACGTTTTGCCGACCAATATGAAGATTAATGAATGCAATTAATGGCATATTTTCAGTTACTTAACCAGGGTAGTTTATTAGGCCCAAAATTTTTTAATTTTTTAAATACAATTTCTTTTATTAATTGAGAAAACCACTTCTAGTTCTAGTCACAATGGGTTTCTTATTCATGAGAGTATTTATTATTATGTATACGGGAATTAAAAAGTACTTACTTCTTTATCAATTTCTGGTGTTCTCACAATACTATTAACTCCATTGTCGTTGCTTTAGTAAACATAGCACAGCAATTTATGTATATTGAAGACCCGAATCACAATAAATATTCACATCCCATTCATTGGGACTCATTCATTCATTACAATGATGGCGTCGCATCTTATTATGGTCTGCCGAATCCCTTACTTGGCTCCTGAATGTTTAGTCTAGACTTTATACGAAACTATTTACAGTGCACATAAAATTGAAGCTCTGCCTGTATCTGAATGATCGTTCGGTTTATTTTTATGCGCTTTGCATTGTATCAGATGATGAAGCGCTCAAAATATCGAACAGCGATATTTTGAGCGCTTGCAATTTTGAATATCTATTCAATCTATCCTTTATAGATTAAATCATATTTTATGTTTAACTAAATCGATAGAGGAGATATTCTTTAGTAGAAAATAGGATTTTTATTATGAAATTCGATCATGATAGGGCAATAAGTTGCCAAAATCGTGAACTGCATTCACTCGTTTAAGGTTAAGGGATATGTTAGTTAGTTCCTAGCCACAGCCGGGTTTATGAGTGCCATCGTAATAATGTACTTACCGAAGCCTCGGCCTAAAGCAGGAGAAGTATCGGTGGTTTTAGTCAGTAAGAGTCTTTTTTTTGTGAGGGGACAATCATCAATTGACTTCTCCCGCCCAGGGCCGGGCGGGAGGGAGTGTCAGACTCTTACTGACTAAAAACCCCCCTGTTCCTTCTCCTGCTCTGGGCCGAGGTCGCGGTGCTTCATTGCGCTTACCGCGCAACCCCGGCTGAACATCAGCTCTATAGGGCTCCGTCTGTGGTGGTCTATTATATAAAAGTCTGAGATTCCGATTTCCGACCCACCCAAGTCGGGAGAAGTATTTGGATGATTTCCGCCTCTCAATTTTAAGCCTAACATTGTAGCACCAACGCCTCTTAAACATACACAAAAGGTTTATACGACTAATGACCATATTACACTTCGCACTAAAGAAAGCTCTAATATCAGACACTGTGTCTCAGCTGGAAAACGCCCCCTTTGTTTATAAAGACGCGTCAATAAAACACTTTAGCAGACAGCTTTAGTGTTATGGACACGTAAACAAACGATTAGGCTCGATAATAGGGCATAAACCCCTGATAATAGAGTATAAAGTGGCGTGAAACGTATCATGATAACGTTATGAAGGGCTACCGAATAGTTTATGAGTTGTACACAATCAATTTATTAATGTTATTGCTTATGAAGTGTGTTTTTAGCTGAGTGGCGACTGGTTTGTTCAATAAAGGGGTTACCTGGTACTTGCCTCGTTAAATAGGGATCGTTAATGTCCAATCTTACTGCTAAAAGTTTGTTATTTGTGTACGCAAATAGTACTGGTACTAGTTTAAATTATTAAATTTTTTGAAGGGAAAATCAGAGGGCGTGTCCGATTCTGACACGTAATAGGTGATGATTTATACGTCAAGATGACACACCTTATTACAAAGATAAATCATTGTTATGCCTATAATGTGTATATTCAATTTAAAAGTCTACTAATAAACAGGTAAAATAGTAAACTTTAGAACTGTATTTAAAACGATTCAATGGTAAATCATTACTCATTTCTCTAGAGATTTGACGCTAGTTTCTCTTTCTCTTTATCTTTTATCTTTTAAAAAAAACGTTGCCCCACATTAGGATTTTCTCGTGTGTCGTGGGTGCTGTTACAAACATACAATTTCACATACACAAGACACCCAGACCCGGAACAACAGTTTGTGGATCACACAAAGAGTTGTTCCGTGCGGGAATCGGACCCGCGACACGTTGCACATACGCCACCGTACCAACCGTGCAGTTTAATTGAACATTCTAGGTAAAAGTTAGGTTAGCCACATCCTATAGGAAACATTCGCTATAAAACTGCTTCTGAACTTAGTCTGACCTAGTACCGCAATATCCTGGAATGAGAACTAAATCGCGTCACTACTAAATAAACCATACAATGTATGGAAACTTACACTTTACGTGTGCAAAGTTTAAGTATAAAAATGCACTTTAAGTATTGAAGCTTAAAGTGTAATATCAGACTTCACGTCTTGGATGTGTGAAGTTGGATTTGTTTTAAACTTAGATTGGGTTTTAAGTGCGGATTACAATTTCAGGAACTACATTCAACAATGTATGTAGATGTTAGTTCAGTGTGTGAAATGGATGAGGTAATTTTCATATATAGATTAATAGCAGTTTGGAGTTCAATGGCATTTTTTAAAACGGGCAGACCATCGCTTGATGGTAGACGATCAGTGCTGCCTATGGGTATTGGGTCCCGCAACGTTAAAGACTTACAAGTTATTGAGAATAAGGGGATTTTTTGAAGAAGGTAGATAATGGAGGCAGATTTGCAAATCAAATTTAATAAGGAAAATAAGAATAATTACCAAATTGATTATGAAGATGATCTTAAATTTCTACGTTTATATTAAATTCCTTTTGATTTTGGACCTTCGCTAACCTCAATCACGCGGGCATACAATAGAAATCTTGTTTAACGCTAGTTGGGGGTTAAGCCGTGCTGTCACTCCGGTTGAAACGGTCCATTCGTTCTGAAGCGTAGCTATCTCACATTAAAAAAAGAAGCACGATATTCCAACTTCGTATTGAACGGTTTAAACAAAAGACAACAATTTATTTCACCCTGATTATATCGATACTTAATTGTGAACAGCCACCGAAAGTTGCGCAGACGGCCTTTGAATTTTCAGCGACAGAAATGCTATCCCAGAGCCCTCTGCTAATCGTGGCGATTACAGCAAATCCTTTTTTAGAGAATGCTTTGTTTTGATAGACGTTACGGCTGGCAAAGATAATGAACTTTGACTTGTCACTTTTGCAAATTCAACAATAGACAAAGTATAAATACTTACGGTATAAATTTTATGTCGGCATTACAAATTAGCTATAAGCCGACAATTAATAAATTAAACGAAGCCGCTTTGGTACAACAAATTCGAATTAACATCATTCTTCGATTAAACACATGACATGGGTATAAAATGCTAAATATTTTTACGTTTGTGACATCCTTCGCTTAAAACAACATGTTTAGTATGACGTAAGAGCACAATCATTTTAATGTTCCACACCTAAAATGAAAGAATAGACTATAGATCTGGCCGCCATATTTTTATTGCTAGTAGGTATGGCGGGAACTCTGGCTACAATTTTTCAATTTATTGACCCTATAATATTATGGATTTTTTCCGCGTAGTGATAGGGTCAAGATTGTTTTTATTTATTGCTCCATCGCTTGGCCTGTCGGAAAAGAGAGGAAAGGCGAAATACTTTTTTCTTTTGAAATATTTTGTTAGGCATTATGGCGTACAACGGTAGTTTCGCGCCATTATTCACAATGCGATCGTTACTTAGATTCCCTTGAGGTGATTTGCGTGAATAAATATAACGAATTTGGATATTTATCTACATAAAAATACACGAATTTTCAACTTACACAATCTGCCGTATTTTTATTTTAAGACTTGTAAAAGTTGAAACTTACTTTGTTTATAATTTTTTTCTATGAGATAGACAGGAACCTGCTTATTTAAGTATAACTTAAAAAACACGAAGTCATGTAACCTCTTCCATAATGAAAGTGGCCAATAAAACCCCTCTTAAGTGCTACGAGATTGAATTCAAGGACAAAACTCCGGGAGGTGGTAATAAAATTCGATGTAGATACTGTACTATGTTTGTATGTGTAAAGTATTTAGTTAAGCTCGTAAATGTCGCGTTCGGCCTGCTCGATTGATAGCTGTGACAAATTTCGCGAAGAATTTCAAGCCTGTTGGCCTGTCAGTCACAATAATTGTAGATCTGCCAACCAGAAAGTGAAGTCATGTTATTTTAATAGTACTCTTTATTTAACTTTGGCTTAACGTTATTATAAATCAATTTAGAATTTCAAAACGTACCATACCTACCTACATACCAATGTACTATTATCATAGTATACTTTTATCAAAAAAAAACTAATTATATTTTTCAGTTAGATACCATGCCTGTGTATTGACAAAGTTATCGAGAAATTTAATAGTAAGAGATTGATTGACCTTTTAACTATTTAAACATAAGTATTGGAATCTTCGATGATCTGTAGATCAGCTATAAAGCAGGAAGAAGAAATATTATTTACTATTTGGACATTTAGATACGAAAACCCCATACAACAGGAAAATCTACGAGCAAGCCTTTCTTAGCAATATGCTTATCGTTCATTTAATGACAAAATTAACGAATTATTTTGTTTCAGGTATTTGAAATGCGTGAACGAACATATGCGAGACATCCAGCCATTCGAGGATGTGCCCAAGAAGCTGTCGGTCCAGTTGCGCCGAGCTGTGGTGGCCACGCGCACCTTCCACAAAGCGTTGAGAGCCGGCGCTGATGTTGTCAGGAGTATGATGCAGGTAAGCGAACCGTAGAACTCTTTTAGAACTTCAATAGGGGATAAGTTTTTATATTTTTATTTCAAACAAGCGGACCCAGCGAACTCCGTACTTTTTTTAATTGCCTTATTATTGAGATGTCTGTGTTTCTGACCCTTTAAACCTTACCTGGATTTCAACGCATATTTTAAGACCAAAATTATCCAAAACGGACCAGCCGTTCTCGAGTTTTATCGAGACTAACGAACCGAAATTCCTTCTTATTTATAAGAAAGTTTTAACTAAGCAATCTGTAAGCGTGTTGTCTATAAACAAGTACACGCAGAATCATATCAGAGAGTTATCACTGAAATTGTTTGTTTATCTTATATTCTTGTTAATTATGTAGATATAATGAAAATCGTAACGGAAAGACAGCCCTACATTGGGATAGGTCAAAACTATGTTTACACTGTTTTTGTGCCCACGCGAAACGCTAACTGCTCTCTCATTCCTATGAATAAATATGAATGTAAACAATAACAAGTCCACCTACCATTCATGAATAATGGCAGCGAAATTAAGTTTAGAGCTTTGCTGTATAATTTGTTTACGAGCTTGTTTATGTGTGTCTGATTCAACCGACACCCGACACTGACACCCGGAAGATAGAAGTGACAATAGCACACATAAATTACTCATTATCTAACATCTAGCAACAAGTATGGCGCTCGATCCTATTCTATTCTCCGAACTCCAAAAAGGTTCTCAACCTTCATACATAACTGATAATTGGACATTCGTATTATATCATCGACGATTAGTTTTCGCGACATTCTCGGCTTTACTGACCAACTTCGCCAAATCGTGTGTTGTTAGTATTAATTTTTTCCAATGTCAACCGCGCTGTTAGAATGCAAATACACGCTAATCAATGCGAATATGTATTCTGTTTGGCGTTCGACCTTCAACTTGGCGGAGTGTCTGAGGCGCAGGCTATCGTTTTAGAAAATGACTCATTATACCCGCGAATCATTTGCCGAGCGTTGATCCTGGCGCCTCAGTGACACTCCAAGACCTTGGCTTTATTAATTACAATTGTTATCTTGCTTCGTTTGATTTATTTTATGAGCTTCACTTGTTGCTTTTACGTGAGTCTTTATTTAATTGGCACAATAGCAACAATCATTCGGTTTTATTCATGTGTTTGCTTGCCTTTATTAGATCAACGAACTTAGAGATAACGCGGTTCTGTTTGAAGCGTAGATAGGTGCTTACTTATTGTAGCTATACGCCCACATTGTACGTACACTGCTGAGATATCTAGCTATCTTGAAATAGACAGCATCCTTTTGATATTTTAAAGAAGGGGTGTTAATTAAAAAGTTTGTACGTCAGGTTTTTTTATGTTAAAGGTCTGCAAATGAGCAGACGGATTACCTGATGGTAAGCAATCAGCGCCGCCCATGGAGGCTCCAACACCAAAGGAGTAACGAGTGCGTTGCCGGACTTTTAGGGATCAGGGTTTTGGATATTTAAGGATTTGGAAGGCGATCTGGACAGGGAGAGAGATTGGGCCTCAGGTAACTTACTCACACGGCGAAACAACGCCGTGGTTGTTTCACGTCGGTTTGCCGTGGTATATCTCCGGTCGAGTAGACCCATTCGCGCCGAAGCTTGGCTCTCCCACACTTAAAAGGCATGTTAAAAAGGTGATGTTTTGTTTTTGTTCAGGTGCCAGTAACATCGGAGTGCGTGACGTCGTGGGCCCGGCTCCGGTACTGCGGCGGGTGCGCCGGGTACCAGCAGCCCGCCTGCACGCGCTACTGCCACAACGTCATCCGCGGCTGTCTGCCTGCACACGCCGACCTCGGGGACCAGTGGGATGCCTATGTCGGTGAGTAAACTCAATAACTACTATCACTTGCAGATTTTTTTGTGGTAAACCAGCTGACGGGTTAGCTGATGGTAAGCTATGAGCGCCGCCCATGGAAACCAGAGAAGTTACGAGTACGTGGTCAACCTTTTGGGGATTAGAGTCTCGGAGATTTAGTACCCAATTGAGGATGGTTGGGGTAGGGAAAGTATTGGGTCTCCGGGTCCTCACTCTCACGGCGAAACGACGCTGTAGTTGCTTAGCCCCGGTTCTCTGTAAAGCCGTGGGTGGTATCACTTCGGTCCCAATCCGTGCCGAAAGCATGGCTCTTCCACATTAACAGTGGGACATGTCAGGTCTTTTAGTCGCTGAAGTAGAATGTTGCAAATGTAGCGATTCTGTTTATCTATTACCTACATACCACAGAAACCATTCCAGATTGTGTTATTATTTAATATTTTTGGAAAACTAAGCTGTGTTTTATTAATTTCATAACTTCATCACCATCATTTAAAGCAATATACCTACTCACATTCTTTTCTCATTTTCAGACGCCGTAGATAAAGTGGCCGACCGTTTGCTTGGCCCATTCAACATAGCTATGGTGGTCGAGCCTATAGACATTAAAATATCCGAAGCGATCATGAGCTTCCAAGAGCACAACAGGGAGATATCGCAGAAGATATTCACGGGGTGTGGGAAACCTGTTCTGGGAGGTGGTGGTGGTGCCGGACCGTTCTTTGCACCAGGGAAATCAAAGCGCTCCGTACGAGCCATCCCAGACTTCGATTGGCCACAAAGAGTAGATGACGTTGACGACTTTGAAATCGAAGCTTCCTTCGAGAGCATCGTAAACGAGGATCCCTCGTTAGCAAGTTTACGGACTCCGGAAGGCATTCGAAAGGCGACGGAGGAGATGGCGGAACAGGCCAAGTCTAGAGAAAGGTTCTTACAATACATGAGAGGGAATATTGACCTTGAGGAGTATGAGGAACATGAGAGGAAGCGTCGGGACGCCGACCCAGAGCCCGCCGCCGCTGGAAACATGGATATCGACTTCAAGTCGTATGATTTCGATGAGAAGAAGGGACCTAAGAAGAAGAAGCCTTCGGCTAAAAGCGAAGAGAATCGTGGTAAGTTTTACAAGTTCTATCTCAGACACAGATAATCTTTTGAAAATTTAGTATTTGTTGGTGATTAGGACGATTAACAAAATTTTGTGTAAAGATCGCTGGAGAACTAACATTATTTACTAGTAAATTGTTGGTTTAAAATAAAGCCGCCTTCTCTGTCAACTAAATCTAACAACTAGGCAACTGTTTTTGATGCCGTCTTTCACAGATGGAGTGATTGAAGAGAATGGATTAAATGTATAATCCAAACTAATATTACAAATGCGTAATGATGCTGTCACCCTTACAAAATGTTTCTTCGCTTTGTCAGGGTGAAACCCGACAAAGTTTGGAACTCGAGAAAGGACATAGGATAGTTTTTATACCAAAAATCTGCAGGAAGTAACTATTCCACGCGAACGGAGTCGCGGCCAAAATCTAGTAACATCTATTAAATAGTGGATAAATCTTATAAAACGTTACTACTATCAAATGATTGGGCATAAAAACTATTATTAATCCTAGTCCCAGTAACAAGATCAACGAAATATTTTCTTAAATATTTATTTTTTCATAGGATCAGATTGGGGTGCGCCAGCACTAGAAAAACTTGTCCGCGAAACTCGAGGACGCATGCGCAACACCAGACGATACTGGAATCATCTACCGGCACTGCTCTGCACCTCCACCAGTGTTACCAGCTCACCATGCTTCAATGGAACCGATGTTGCCAGGTAAGAAATTATGAATTATTTTGTAGGTAGTTTGAAACGGCTATTGGTATAATGACGTTGTGAATCAGTCGTATAAATAATAATAGTGGTTGGACATAATATTTTTTTTTCATTCATTTGTAGCAAATAGAAATTTTACAATGTTAATATGGCGCCCAACATGGGACCAGAAGTTTTACGTGCGAAATCAAAATAACTTTTATAATATAACGATAACTACGATATACATATTCAAATAAAAAATGAGAAATTATTTAACAAAACATAAATAATTTGTTACTAAATCAGCAGATATCCTTATAACTAACAGTACATCAAATTATACACCATTTTCCATCTATTCACAGACAAGAAAACATCAATTTATTCATTCATTATATTTAAAAAACATAATATTTCATTTACAGCTACACCCTAAACGCAGCCAGTGAAGGTACAGCAGGTTTAGCTAGCAACCCTGAAGTGCGTGGTGTTGCCAGCCCTATTGCGGTCGCCAGTGTTGCCACACAAGGAGATTCTCTACGTACTTTAACCGCCAGGCTTAAAGATGCTTACAATGGCGTCGAAGTTCAGTGGCTCGATACCGATAGCAAGGGTAAGTTTATCATCAATTATACTTTCACAAAAATACCAATAATTTAGGTTATTCATATCGTAGTTTTCAATGGTGAAATCAAAGTTACCTAGGGAATAATTATGATGCTGTCGCGTCAGAATGTTTGTATAAGACAGTGACAGCAACAAATTTATTATTCAGATAACATAAAAAAAAAACATTTATCTGACTATTTAAAAATCAGACCTAATCCTACTATAGTATAAATGTGAAAGTTTGCGAGAATGTATGGATGAATATTCCTTATTCTTTCAAAGTGCTGGACCAATTTGGTTTGTAAATGGGTGATACCTTGCAATATCACATAGTCTTTTTGTCAACATACCACGCGGGCGAAGCCGTGGGTGGAAACTAGTAATATTACAATTTTGTAGTTAAAACAGTAGTACTGTCAAGTTGATATTTATAAAAGTTACAATTACAAATTAAATTTTTGGATTATGTTATTATTCCTCTCACATTTTCCTTACAAATGATGTGAATATAAGCGCACTTTCTTTAATGAATTTCAGAAAATACTTCAGTATTCTTGAAGCTTGGAGTAAAATTCCTTACACAGTTTTCCCCTGCATCGGCTTATTTTAATAACTTTTGTTTTCTTACAGACTTGCAAGTAGCCAATTCGTTCGGTCGGGAGATCTTGGAAGACGTGGAGTCGGGCTCCGGGTCCGGGGACTGGGGTACTAGCGACGGACTGCCTGATGATGACGAGGACAGACTCAATGGATACGACACTGGTACGTATTACCTATCAAGTTTTATTACATTTTTAATAAGGGTTCTGTACGTAAAGAACAAAAGTGTCTGCGTTTGTTTTGTATTATTACTAAGTTTTTTTTGTGAGGGAAAAATCATCAAATGACTTCTCCCGCCCAGGGACGGGCGGGAGGGAGTGTCAGGCTCTTACTGACTAAACCCCCCACCAATTCCTTCTCCTGCTCTGGGCCGAGGCCGCGGTGCCTCACAACCCCGGCATTATTACTAAGTTGGCCTAGACTTGTTTTTAGTTAAAAGGGGAATTATAAATTTGAATGTTGACATCAAAAATATAAGTACAATTTCTCTCTATAAAAACATTTTAATCTAATTTTGTAATCTCGTTCCAGGCTCAGGCGAAAGTCCAACAGACGCGGATGACGATCAAACAGAACGGGAGCCCGAAGTAATGTCACCGCAACCACGGCCCGTGACGGAGGCGCCCATCATACCGAGCATCATAGACTCGCCCGCCACCAACAACGTCAACGTACGCGGCCGCGTCGGACCCGACACCGACATGGGTATAGTGATACCACCTCGACCCGACACACCCGACACTGCCGACACATCCGACACGTCCGACAGAGACAGCGACGTGCCGCGGGCCCCTCCACAAGACATACCAACCCGCGAGCAACCCGTGGCCGGGGCCGCGGACAGCCCCGCCCTCCAGAGAGCACTCTTCACGTACGCACTGCCCGTCGTCTGCGCTTGGTTCGGCACCATAGTCACCGACCTCTTCTAAACACGGCAAACAGAGACTGCGTTATCAATTTGTATAGAAATCGTTTGGTTTGTATATAGCCTAGTCAGTGAGCGACCCGGGGGAGTTATGGCGCATCGCGCTACTGTGATATTGTGGACAGGCAACTTACGGAACGTTACAACACGACGGACAATGAATGACATTCAACAAATTAATACACAGTGCGTTGTGTAGTGAATTAATTTATTAATATTAATTATTATTTCAAATAATTCCGTTACACCCTTATTCGAAGTGAACGACAATAAATGGGGAGTATTTTTTTAATCTGGCAATTAAATATGGCATTATATATTTTTTAATTTAGCTAAAATTGAAATCAGCCAAATTATGTATTTATTAAATGATCTTTTTTCGTGTAAATAAAGTGTAAATTATACCGCGGTAGATAGTGAATGTATGTTTTATTTTACTAGTATATAAGTATGGTTGTACGATCCTGTATAGTCTGTGGGTTGGCGCCAAAAACATTTGCAATAGCATTGTATAATAAACAACAATGAATTTCAAATATTACCTACTGCACTAAATTATATTTAGAAAAAGTCAGGACTAAAATATCGAAAAATATGTTTTTTGTCGCTTAAACCACAGACTATAAAAAAAACTAAAAAAGAACATGTCTAAAAATGTACATAAAAGTTAGTCATAATTGTATAGGTAAGTTTATAGACTGATTTGCTTTCGATTTATATTTTTACACGCAAATTATAATATTATTATTTCATTCGGACTAAGATATAATACTAATCATTTAACCGACTGATATAATGATAATTTGTATTTGATTTTTATTATTATTACATAATATATGTATTCATACTACCTATTTTAATAATTAATTAAAATACATAAGTAATATGTTTTTTCGTTAAAATATTTATATTTCATTTTGGCTTCAGCTTTACTTTGCTAAGTATAGATTTTGATTTGCAATTTCGTGTCGCAGGCAAAGTTATAATTGGGGAAAATGGATAAACGGCAGACAGATTGCAAATTGAATATTTTTACACTTTAATGTAGTGAAACCAGTGTATAATATTTTAAGTGTTATTTCTTTGTATACGTAATTTGGCGTCGTATATGTAAAATGTTGTATAAGTCGCAGCTTAAGAGATACAATAATTCCTTATTAATTAATATTTTTTGTTAATAATTCTTCTAAAACAGTTGGAATTGATGTTTTGAATGTAGATGTTGGATAAAAATCTAAGTCATTTTGTCTGTTTGGTACATTTTAGTGTAAGAAGGCTGCGACAATAACACGCACAATTATTTTTAATATTCGAACAAGCAGAGGAAGGTATTGTGTAACATATAAATAAATAGAAAGTGTACAATTTTACACGTTTTTAACTAAATAAAAAAAATATATAAAAATTTAGTTGCATTTTTGATTTGGTTTATTACAATAACGCCTTCCTTTGTGCTTTTAATATGAAGTATGACTTCAACCCGCAGACGGAGTAGAATGAAGAGGATGCACGCATTTACTGATCATATACTATTGCTTGTAAGGCAACAATTCAATAGAAAAATAATGCAAAACGAATTTTACACCCTTAATTATAAAGTACATAATAAAAGGACATCATAAATCGTATACCAAGAGTACGGGGACCAAGCTATAAGGTATCGCTATGTGCCATCTATTTAAGAATTATTTAGCGCACAATCTAAGTACTACCACGCTAAACGGCCCGTGTTTTATTTCTATTTATATGTACGTGTGTCAGTGACTTCTGAGAGGCAGTTTGAATATTTTATATAGAACATAAATGTACTTATGTGTACAAGGAATAAAATATTCTATAAAAAGTTGGTTTCAATTTAATACCCAAACTATTAAACTAAAACTTTAAGACATAATCAGACAGTCAGATAATTAAAAGTAAAACGAATTCTCGCTCAATGAATACTATTTAAAATACTGGAACTGTCGTTCTCAATAATGTAAATAATCATATTTAATTATCATTAATTAGATAATGGAATCTTTACAGATCTTTTGTTGGGTCTGTTTCATTGGCGTTTGGATGACCAATATGATTTTGGATTGATATAACGAATTTTAATACAGTCATAAGTAAATTCGTAATTCAAAGCAAGAAGTGTAGAGCTGATATATAAGACTCTATATAACAAAGGTTTTATAGCAAATGGAAAGCGTAACTTCACTTTATATCAATCGCCAGTGAAGCAGACCGTGATAAATGTTGCTAGGAAGTCGTAGTTTTTATACAGTGTAATGAAATATTGTATAACAGGGTACCGATATGAATGATTGCATGTATCTATTATACGTATAAAGAACTCATTAACGTAATGCCATATATGTATTAATCAATGCTGCAAACTATTATTTCCGCGGACATGATTGGCCAAGCGTTAAAACGAGTGTCAATAAAAAAGTTAAATGAATTTACGCTGTCAGTAACGATTAGTAACAAAAACGTCACGATAAATGTAAACACATCGATATGTTTGTGCAAAAGTAAAAGTACCTAAATTAATTATTCTTTGTTCAATATTATAAAATTGACGGAATGAGGAACGAATTTTATGACATTTTTATTGTATTCATTTATTAAATTTATATAATGAATTACACTTTTGTTCTAGACATTTCACGAAAATACTTTTTGTTTTTATAGTAACTGCTACATAAAACATGTCTGCGTTTGAAATAAAATTGAAAAAAATAATAATTGCAAAACTTTCGTCATGTTTGCATATTTAGGTGCAAATATCACTAGGATTACTTTCAAAAAGAGTCATAGTAATATGGTATACTGTTTAAAACAAGTCAATAATATCTCTTGTAAAAAAGTCCTATCAATAGCCATACAACGTTCTAGAATATTTCTTAAGTGAGCCCACTTCTACCAAGGTCACTTTCACCCTAATCCCTCATTCAGCATATTATACAAGGGGATATAGTTTAGGCCCAGTCTTGGCTCAGTTCTATTCAAAAATAACGATATTTTTGTCACCCCACTCAAAATTGCGGAATAGAATGGCGATGAACTTGGCCTAGGGCCCATTTATAAAACCTCAAACATGCAATCTCCCATCTCGCATCGATGGGCGACATCACGTATTATGGCGTAGTTAGGTATACCATTAAAATATAGGTACATTTTCAACTTTATAAAAGAATGATAAGGTTGATATATTAATAAAAGAAATTCATCACTTAAGACTTTTATTGCCCCAAGTAACTTCTTGAAAGTAATCCTATAGTTGTATTCTGAGACAAAACAAAGCTTAACATTATCAATTTTGATTTATAACACATTACTATTATTAAATATTTAAATTATTGTGTGTATATTCGAAACCATATCGGACTTTTTTAAAGGAAATAAAATTATATAAATCTGTTTTCAAATCGATGGAAAGAATCGAAAAATAGTATGTTAAGGCTCATTCACACGATATTATTTTCTTGAACATACAAGAGCAAGAAATGAAGGTCCATTCAGATAATACCTATTGTTAAGAGCGCGCAAGTCATATTTTGTTTTAATAATTTGCAATGCAAGAAAATTGCATCGTGTAAATGAGGCTTAATTCATACTCTAGTATGTATTAAAATATAAGGTGTTATAAAATTATTTGCCACGGCTGCAATGCGAGATTGTATGGCGTTTATAGATTACAATAGTCAAGATCATCAAATGGTCCTTCTAATTAATCATACAAAGAAAAATACATATAAATTTAACTTCGGGCTGATTTTTCAATGGTCAGATTAAAAGTTATCTGCGGAATAATTATGATGTTGTCGCGTCAGAATGTTTGTATAAGACAGTGACAGCAACAATTTTATTCGTCAGGAAATATTTATCTGACTATTGAAAAATCAGCCTTTACTAGTATAAAACCATTCGGACTATTACCTAATATAGAGCAAAGTTACATCTAAAAATGATAGTGAAGTTAAAAAAGGCTAAAATACATAGAATTGACATAGGTCACGTGGTCGATTGACGTCGTTATCGCATTTTTTTATTGGGTAGGAACTACGATAAGCAGAATAGAGCCCATATTACTTATATTTTTTTTTTAAATTGTATCTACTGTTCAAGCATACGAAACTTTTTACTTGCTATACATAATACTACCTTCCATTAACATCGTGGCAAATATTTTATTTATAGCACCTTATATGTTTTATGAACGTCGCATATTGATGGAAAAATTTAGTTAACGAGCTTTTTTTGTTTAAAAAAGGTGCTATGTTCACGGTTAAACATTATGTTCTATGATTTTTCCTTTATATATGCGATGTAGGTACCTATATACGTAATGTTTGGTCGAAAGTTGGGTTTTATTTATTTATATATTATACGAAAAAAATTATAACAAAAAATTGTAATTTATATGAAATGTTTATTTGTGTTTCAGTTCGCATATACGTATATTATTTCTTGTAAATTAGCTAGGAAATTGTTTTAAAAAGTTCTTTTTATCAAAAGAAGAAAGTCTTTGACACATTATTAAATTTATGGTATTTCTATTTGAATAAGACCCAACTGTTTCGCACAGAGTGATTAGTGAAATGTGAGTTAGAACGAGTGTATGTAGACTAATGTTTTTATAAAGATATATTATTGCGTAGATTTAATACTTGTACATATAATAAACCCGATAACATGTGTAATAAAGGTCTTTTATTTCATTAACCATTCAAATTTGTACCCTTCACTCCCAAAATTAAGACTCATTTTCGTTTATCGACATAACCAATAATTAGGAAGGTATTTTTTATTCAAATAAACATCATATATTGGTTATAAAAATGATTTATTCTTTAAAAGTTACAGCTATGTACACATACATATAGGAAATTGAATCTTAACACGTATACCACAAGTAGCAGTTTAGATTAACAGTAAAAGTGTGGTGAAACACATCGACATAATAGAGCTTATAAAAATACCAAATTATACTTATTTGAAATCACAGTACACTCGACTTTCAACCTTAGAGTCTGAACAATAAGATTCATTTTGTCTTAATCACTATCGGAATCGCTTTCGGATTCACTATCGGAGCCGGTTTCCTCGTCTTCGGAGTCAGATCCGAGCCAGTCGGGCAGCGAGGGCTGCTCTATTAACGTCTTCCAGTCATTCAGTTTATGTAAATCTGGAAAATAGAGAGATAACATATCTTATTATGTGAGACTAGCTAAATTAATGAAAACCAAAAGAAAAATGGCTACGCATATATAGGGTGACTGGCAATATCCAGCAACAACCCTTTGTGTGGTCCACAAATTGTTGTTCCGAGTCTGGGTGTGATGTGTATGTGAAATTGTATGTTTGTAAACATACCCAGGACACAGGAGAAAATCCTAGTGTGGCGCAATAATTTATTTAAAGTAACATATAAAATAAAAACTCACCTAAACTATACATATCTGAGAGATAGAACTGTTTCTCCTCTTTCTCTAGCACTCCTCCGTACACATAGAGCGTGGCGCGTTGCACGGCCATCATGGCGGACATGCGGGGCCCGGGGCCGGACTTGGGGCCCGCGGGGGTCGCAGCTAGAGGCCCAGTCACCGGCACCGCGGCCCCACCCAACTTCATTGTGAAAACTTCGTCTGTCACCACTGAGGATTGAAAAATAAGGGTATTCGTAAAAAAAACTTTGTTTTTATTCAAATTCAAATTTTTATTGTTTGTTACATGTTTGCAATTAGAAGTTATTTTATAATATTAGTAGCAATGTAACATACCTAGTATAAGATGTACAATCATCTATGATAATTATTTGAAATTAGGTATTCCACTTTAGTATTCTAACATTATTAGTATTTTAACGGTATAATTTTGATTATTAGCTAATTGGAATAGATATTTATTATAATGACACATGCTAATGACAGAAGTCTTAATAATGAGTCTTAATCCAATCATTATTAAGACAGTTTGTGATCAATAAAATATCTGTTTCTGCAAACATTAAACTATTGTTTTTATTATAATAATTTCCTAATATTTATTTACATAATGCCTATTTGTGTCCATAATGTATATGGACTATTTCTAACATAATATTTTATTATCATGTATATCCTTTCCTTTCACGGGATCACAGGACACCAGTATTTTATTATCATGTATGTCCTTTCCTTTCACGGGATCACAGGACGCCAGACCTTTGGAAGGCGTACAACGGACCGATAACTCAAATCGATTACTGTGGTCGACTTCAAAATAACGGAAATACGCTATATTTATGTATGACCCATTTTCTCACCTTTGTAATGGTATAATTTATTACATACATATAAATGAGAAATTGAAATCGCCAACCCGCATTGAGCAAGCGTGGTGATTAATGCTCTAACTTTCTCCGTATGAGAAGAGGGCTTTGCTCAGCAGTTAGCACTTATAGGCTGATGATGATGATGATGATATAAATAAGGGAAATACGAGTATCGTCATGTTTTCTAACCTAAGTCAAGAAAAAAACATCCAAATAATTTCTTGATCACTATCGGGTGTCATCCGCGCATTATGCTATGAGCTCCATGGATTAAATATTTCTTTATGGAATTATTATTATTATTTACAGTACCTGTAACAGTTTCTTCTTCTTTCTGTGCCGGTTCCTCCTCCTTGACAGCTGGCTTGGCTCCCTGCAGTTCCGACCGTAGTGTGACGATGTGCCATTTGCCTGTCTCCATGTCCAAGAGTTGAAGGTCATCGCTCATCTCACCACGGAGTTCTTCTTCCGTTTCTTCTACATCCTGTAAAATATAGATTAAGATAATAGTGTTTAATACATCTAGGAGAGCCAAGTCCTCATAAAAAACCGGCGTGAAACCACTACAACGTTGTGTTTTGCCTTGTAAGTGAGGTTAACGAAGTACCAATCCGTCGCCTGTGTCTATGGGCGGCGCCGTTTGCTTACCATCAGATAATGCGTCGGCTCATTCGCCGACCTCGCCCACAAAAAACAAGAATAAATTAAGATTTGAAACTATGCGCTATAAAACAATTGATTTCCTGTTTTATCCAATAAACCGACGAAAATTAATTGACGAAAAAAATACGGGCAAAGTGCAAATCGGACTTGCGTACCGAAGGTATCGTACAAAGTGCACTCAAACTGTTGTTTCTTTTGAAATGTTCGACGGGCTACTTACACTGACACCTCCAAACACATATCCTCTGTTACTATGCGGGTTGACGGCGGCGGCCTGGCCGGCCCGCGCGGGCGGCGCCGCCGGACCTCCCGTCTGGGAGCGCCACACCCAGCCCCCGCCCACCTTACACGACAGGCGGAACAGATCTGTGTGAGTATGCGTACGTTCCGAACGACCCTCACGGACGCGAGAGAAGCCACCGTAGATTAGAAGCTGTGAAATAAAGTTAAATGTTTAGGGAAGTGAAAGTACAGTACGGCCGCCGTATCTTGGCGAGTCTGAAGTTTGCCGTTTGTCTGCGCAATAGATCTTTTGGGAACAAAATTGTGTACTGCGCAGCTAATCGGCTAACTTCAGACTCGCCAAGATACGTCGGCGGTATTGTAAAGTTTAAAAAGGAAGTATTCTCCGACCAGGCAAGGCGGGCAACTACCCCACAGTTAGTTTTACGTTGGGGTTTTCTGTGCACGGAGATATGTTTACGAGTTGAGATGTATGTTTTTTAAAGTCTTCTGTGATGATGATCGTCGACTGCGTAACTCACTATCGCCACAAACGATGTTTAAATTTTTGTAACTTTGCCTTATAGCAAAATTTCTTTCCATCACCCGGATCAAAAAAAATATCAATGCGGGAATGTTACCCGCGATACATTAATCGTGACCGTGTAACTAACATTGTGTAAGCATGTTACTTATGATTAACAATAATATTAATTATAAAAGCCCCTTTCGTGGTCTGAAACTAGACGAGCAATAAGATCGAACAGTTACGTAATTAACGCACACTACCTAACAGGTTCTGTTGAACAAAACTTACCGAATCATTCCCAGCGGGTAGCATGACACAAGCGGACCTGGCAGTGGGTCCTCTGCCACTGGGAGCCAGTTTACTCCAAGTCCTCGTGTCGAGACAGAACGAGTACACATCGTCGAAGTACCGGCACTCCCGGCCGTCGTCCGCATACCCTCCGAATACAATGATGTTACGCCCCAGTAACGCCATGCGGTGACCTGATCGAGGACTTGGACCGTTTGGTGCTACCACCTGAAGAGGAGAAAGATAATTGTTAGAAGTTTCTGTTAACCTATAAGTAATATCTGGAAGCTATGTTGTACTTATAGGCTTATAGAATAGTTTTTGAGAATGTAAATAATAAGTTTATGTTTTTTATGTAATAGGAGGCAAACAAGCAGACAGATCAAAGATAAGTGATCGGCATTTATTGTGCAACTAGTTTATTAATCTGTAACCCTTTTGTAAAATGTACTTAATGATATTTTTTTATTAAACAAAACATTGTTTTTTATTTACATGTTATTTTAAATACATATAATAACTAATTAAATTGTTTTTAATCGCCAATCCTTATATAAGCTTAGTAATTAATGCCCAAACTTTCTTCGTGCGAGAAGAGGCCTGTGCGCAGCAGTGTGCACTTATAGGCTGATGATGATAATCAGTTAAGCCTTGGCCAATAGGTATAAGCACTACCACCTCCAACAAATGAGGTTCCTCACAGCAGTTTCATCCTAATAATCTTTTTTTTTTTTTATGTAAACGAGCAGACGGATTACCTGATGGTAAGCAATCAGCGCCGCCCATGGACACCCGCAACGGAGGAGTTACGAGTGCGTTGCCGACTTTTTAGGGATTAGGGATTTGGAGATTTAGGAACTGGGGAGGGATTGGGAAGGGGAAGGATTGGGCCTCCTTAATCTTACTAATATGATAAATGTGAAAGTTTGTAAGAATGGATGGATATATGTTTGTTATTATTTCACGTAAAATCACGAAGTTGGTATGTAGATAGACTTGCTTTTTATCAAAATACCAAGCTGGGGAAGCCGCGGAAGGAAGCTAGTAAGTTGTACCTTTTCCCATTTTTTCTCAGACAGTGAGAAGCACCAAAGATCCTTGTAATGATGGAACTGTGTCTCCGAAGGACTTGTGAACTCTCCACCGAACACCCACAGCTCACCCCTGGGGAACAAGTGATACACTTTCATAAATTAAATGTATAAATAAAGTTATAGAAGAGAACAACTATTCTACTATGGTAATCCCACTCACACGGCGGTATATTTATAACAGAACCGTGGTTTCACGCCGGTTTCCTGTAAAAAATTAGTGCTTAGCTTTACATCATTGCGATCTAAAAGTAACCGCATGTTTTTTTTGTTAGGATATAATCATTATGTTGAATTTCAAATCAGGGTGAGAGGAAGTGAAAGACTGTTACTGACTAAAATGCCCCTATTCTTTCTCCTGCTTTAGGCAGATGCTGCGGTCATTGCGCTAACCCCGCAACCGCTGCCGGATGGATCTAACCCTCCGATCTATGGTTAATTTACAGCTGACCAATCAATGCTTCGAACATCAACGTAAAGTAAACTTGTACTAGGCAGGCACTCTGATCCCTACAGTTGAGCTACTCAATCGTACAGAAGCATGGATTATACATGTTATCGTCTCTAGGTAGGCCTGGGAGTGTGCGACTCTTACTAACTAAAAGCCACCTAATTTCCTCTCCTGTTCCAGGCTGAGGCCGCACTTGCAACTCACACAAAATTCACAAAAAATTGCTAATTAAAATTTCCTTAAGATTTTAACACCTGAATAAAATGACATACTTATTAGCAGGAGTAGCAATGGTCTGATGAGCCGATCTAGGTGGAGGAGCCCCGGGAGCCTTCAGGACCTTCCATGAGTTGTTTGTGGGGTTGTAGAACAGCAGCTCATTGTATACTTCCGTCTGTGGAAAAGAAATAAATTAAGTTTGATTTAGGATTTCAATATTAAAAAGGCAGGTATAGGAAAAATGTTAAATAGCAGGATTAATTATTATGTACTAGTGTTTACAAATTTTTTTGTGTAAAATTTGTTCCCATTAAATATATTTTTATACATTTGGTATGGTGTCTATTTACTTATCAGCAATATGTAACCTATGTACTAAATATGTATTACAGGCAGGAAATTTTAGACCTTTCCCTCTGATGTGGGTTACCAAGATATTAGATCTAGATGTGAAGATTCAAACTTTTCCATACATGATTATATAAGGTTAGATGATGCATCAAATTGCTGCATTATTTCATAGATCTCCAAAGAGAAGATTAATAGAATGAACAGTAACTGTTTTATCTTTGCAACCAACCTTCTGTCCATTATGATACTCTCCACCAAAGAGGATAAGTTCATTATTAGTAGGATGTGGTGTGAGTGTGGCATATGCTCTAGGTGACGGAGGACCTGGAAGAGCCTTCTCCGTTGCTGCAGACCTCTTTGCTTCCTCGCGTTCTATCTCGGCTATAACTTTGGCTATATCCTCCTGAAAATGAATAAAACATGGCTATTCTGAATCACATAATTTTAATAAATTATAGCACATTTTGATGTAAATATTTTGTGGAAAGGAGAATCTATGTACTTAGTCATTTTATAACTATTAGTATAACTCTTTTTCAATCTTAATTTTTTTAATAAAAATATTATTAAGAAAGTTTGTGTAATAAATATGTTTTATTTCGATGTAAAACAAATTGTAACATATTGTTTAAACATGTGGAGTAGAGATAATGTTTTATTGAATTTCACGCCAATAAAAAAATTGCATAACGCAGTGGACAAGAAATCGCTGTTAAGTTTTTATAGATACACTTTTTTACAGTTTCATACAGACAGTAATAATCGAAATTAAATGTTGAATATGTTGAATCTGTGTATTGACTAACCTCTCCTAAATTAGCTAATTCCTTCTTCAACTTGTTAGCAAGCTTCTTCTCAGTTTTAGCGGCGGTTTTTACAGCACCGCTGACCTTGTTCTTATTCTTCTTTTTGCCCATTTCAATAGAAAAAATATCTTTAAAAATTCAAAACAAACTTCTATCGAGGCTGGGTCTTTTTTGACATACAGTTTATTTTGTATGTAGGTTATGGACGTTCAAAAACTATCACATTTACAGTTATTGAAAAAAAGGCATTCTTACTCGAAGTCTTATTTACTTAGAATATAAATAATATTAAGTATATACATACTTAAAAGCTGTTATCTCTAATGAAGGCAAAGTTTAGTTAAGTTTGTTGCAAATTTAGGATATCTAATTACTTTTTATTTCAAATTGTTGTAAATTCTGAATGCGCTTTAGGTATACGTTTAGTTCTTTCTAAGATAGAACTTTTTTTAAATATTTTAATCTCAGTTTTAGAATTTTATTATATTCGTCACGATACGAAAGTAAGCTACTTAGTATCTTGATATGGAGACTAGCCTTTCGATATAACATTTAATTATTTTCTTTTTTTTTTTAATGCATAGAACTCACAAAATGCTTTACGTGTCACCAGGACAGGAAAACGATTATCATTTAGTGATGGGCAACTCGAGTTATCTAACTCGGGCAACTCGAGTCAGACCGTGAGCGAGTCAGACCGAGTAAATATTTCTGCAACTCGGGTCGAACCGAAGAGCGCGCGCGGTGGCAAGCGGGGCGGTTAGGTTGCCAGCCCGCCGCGCGCCGCTCGATGCCGCCGCCCGCTCGCCGCCTAGCCCGCGATTCGCGAGGCCCGAACGACACCGAGCGAGCCCGAGTCAGCCCGAACAACGAAACGTAGTCGCGTCGTCCGAGCCGCGAGCCGCGAGTGAAAGAGATAGTTCTCGTCTTCGGCGAACAAATGACAGAGTTTTAACACAAAAGATTAGATATTTGTTTTGTTTACGTTTTTGTTATTACTACTTAGTTCGTAGGTAATTTATTGTTTTGTTGCGGTATTATTAGTTTATCAAGTGTTTTTTGTCTGATTAATAAGTTTAGAATGGCTCCGGGAAACAGGAAAAGTGTGGCGTGGGAGTTTTTTTCAAAAATAGACAATAATACTAAAGTACAATGCAATTTGTGTTCTAGTCAATACAAATTTAGTGGAAATACGAGTACCTTAGTGAACCACCTAATCCTTTTTTGACAAGCTTATTTTATTTGACTATCATTAGCATGGACTCGACCCCACACAGCCCGTCGGGCTCGACAAGCAAACTAGCAACCCGCAGAACGATGCACCGAGTCGAGCGTTTACTGACTCGAACGGACAACCCGGACAACGCGGCGAAGGACGCGACGTATCTTATGGCAGATCGGGTCGAGTCAACTCGAGTTGCAGCCCGAGTTGGTTATCGGGTCAACTCGAGTTACTCGAGTTATCAAAAAGACGACTCGGCCCATCACTATTATCATTACAATTTGCAGTCGACTTGTCACTGTCAGAGTGTCTGTCACTCGACGGCCAGTCAAAAATCAGAAGAAAGGAAGGAAAGCGATTTTACGGTGCCATACTTTGCACCAAACAAATCAAATATAAATAACTTATATTAAGCGCAAATTATGTTTAAGAAATAGGAATTACCGTTATTTATTTAGTTTCCAATTTCTAGTGAAGTGAAAATTAGTTAGCAAAACAAAATGACGTCGCCTGGGCCTTCGGTACGTAACTGTGCATCTGTTTACTATCTTACATCTATATGTAGTGCTTAAACAACTGACTTTATCATTTTAATGTCATTGATTTCAATCTAGAAACATTTAGACGTTTAATGCCAATTTTCTAAACAGCCGTTTTATAACTGTAAACCTACCTGTGTGAATTAATCAACATAGCCTATTATTTTTTCGTCATGGTCATGTTATACAACCTTTTTTCAGAATTCCTTTCAGCAATCATCTGCTCCTGCGTCCGTCCAAGAGTTTAAGATACGTGTGCCAAAGAATGTAAAGAAAAAATACCATGTGATGCGGTTCAACGCCACTTTGAATGTAGACTTCGCAAAATGGACGCATGTGAAGATGGAACGTGAGAATAACATCAAGGAGTTTAAGGGAATTGATGAGGATATGCCTAAGTAAGTAATTTCAAGAAGAAATCACCCTAAACAAATAAATATAATAGATTAAAAATGTAGAAAGGAGGTTGCATTCAGCTTGGACTCTACAAGTCTCTATAACCCCTTCAGGATCAGAAGCAAAAGATCTCTGGACTTTGGCTTTCATAAGAGACTTTTCGGTCATTTTAAACCGATTTAAATAAAGGATGCAATTTTCAGAGTTTGATGTAACAATAAAACAATGAATTTATTTTTGTAAATAGGCCAATGCACAGCACCTTTATGTATGCAAGTGGGTATGTGTGTTCACAATTTGCTAGTTATACTTAGGAGGTACATTATTAAAAAGGAGGTTCTCAGTTTTGGACTCTCAGACAGATAGCAGCTGTTTAGGGTTTACTGTACTTCTAGTAACAGGTTTACATAATGTTAAATGAATCATGTTTATGCATTGACAACGAAAACAGTTGAAGGCAAATTCTCAACAATTTTCAAAAGTCAACAAATATGAGACCCTGGCTTTGTCATGTGGTTACTCTGGTTCATGGTATGGAACTAGTTGGGTTGTAGACTTTTTGATATAATGTTTTGTACACTATACTATTACTTTTAAAGTCACTGGTTGATCCAGCTTGAACAACCAAAACTATGTATGATTCTCATCATACTCCTTTTGCTGACAGATAGATGATAGTGATATGAATTAATACAATTAAATATTGCTGACAGTGCTATAATGACAATGTGCAGTTGCACCATACAAATTGCAATTGCATAATATTGCTGAAATATGTCATGAGTCATATGAACATTCTAAGGCTTTTTTACATTTTTAAAAGTGATAGGCATTCTCCTGTAATATATAACGAATTAACAACATACCGCACCAAATCAACATACCGCTGTTAAACACTCGATAATTTTTGCTGGTATGTATATACAAGTTAATATCGTCGTTGTTTAATAAACGAAAAAAAAAATACAAAAGACACGTCGCATCTCCGTAAATGAGACACTCACTACATAATATAAAACAAAGTCGCTTTCCCTGTCCCTATATCCATGTGTATGCGTAAATCTTTAAAACTACACAATGGATTTTGATGCGGTTTTTTGGATAGACAGTGATTGAAAAGCAGTTTTATATGTATAATTACATCCATTAAATAGTGAAGACATTTTCTGGTCAGGGGGTGCGGAAATAATTTATTTATTTAAACTTCATGCACAATGGGTACATATATTATATTATTAAGTTCCTATATCCCCTAGGTGGGGCAGAGGGCTTCCACAGTATTTTTCCATTTGGACCTATCTTGGGCTATGTGCTTAATTTCGGACCAGGACAGTCCTATCCTCCTTATTTCCGCCGCCACTGTGCGCCGCCACGTTTGCTTAGGACGGCCAACTTTTCGCCTGCCTTGTGGTGTCCACTCTAGAGCTTGTCTTGGTATGTGTGTGGGACCTCTCCTGAGGGTGTGCCCTATCCATGACCACTTTCGGCGTGTAATTTGCTTATCTATTGGCATTTCCCGGCACGCCTCCCACAAGCGTTCGTTCGAGATCTTCTCTGGCCAGAAAATGCCAAGTATCTGCCGAAGGCAGCGGTTGACGAAGACCTGGATTAAGTGAGTGATATCCTTTGTTACCTTCCACGTTTCGCACCCATAGAGTAAGACGGACTTGACGTTAGATCGGAAGATTTTAAGCTTGACTCTACGAGTCAGCTTCTTTGATCGCCATATGGGTCGAAGTTGTGCAAAGGTCGCCCGTGCTTTGGTCACTCTAGCGGCAGAGTCCTCTTCCGCTCCTCCCTCCTTCGACACAATGCTTCCCAGGTAAGCAAACTGTTGTACACACTGGATTGGCTCAAGAGTGAGGGACTATTGGTTTTTCCCGGTGCGCATCTCGTGGGTCTTCCTTGAGTTGATTTTAAGGCCAACCTTTGCCGCCTCTAGCCGAAGGTCGTCCAGTTTGGCTTGCATATCAGCATGTTTATGGCTAAGCAGACACAGATCATCAGCATAGTCTAGGTCATCCAGCTGATTGTACAACCCCCATTCTATACCGCGTCTCTTGCCGTCGTTTACTTTCTGCATTACACCATCCAGGACGATAAGAAAAAGCAGAGGCGAGAGAAGACAGCCTTGCTTGACTCCCGCTTGAACCGATATATCTTCGGAAATTAGACCATCATGAGCAACCCTGCAGGAGTACTTTTTGTACATGGCTTTGAGCAGGTCTCTGATCTTGGGTGGGACTCCGATTTCGTCAAGTCGGTGCCAAATACTGGACCAATGCAGTGTGTCGAACGCTTGTTTAAAGTCGACAAACGTAATATAGATGTCACGTTGCCACTCGGTGGACTCTTCGAGTATGATCCGAAGCGTATTTATTTGGTCCGTACATGAGCGGTTGGGGCGGAATCCAGCCTGTTCCTGCCGCAAAAGTGGCTCAACCACTTTTGCGATCCGGCCGAATAGTATTCTGCTAAGCACTTTAGATGGTACCGAAAGAAGAGTGATACCCCTCCAGTTGCCACATTCACTAAGGTCACCTTTCTTAGGCACTGTGATCAAGACACCTTTGTTCCACTCATCAGGAAGTTCCTCGGAGGTCCAAATTTTTTCTAATAGTGGTGTAAGGACCTCAGCGGCAGCCGACGGATCTGCTTTTAGCATTTCGGCTGTTATGAGGTCCAAACCGGGTGCTTTTCCGCTCTTAAGAGACATTATGGCTGCCTGAACTTCGTCCTGAGACGGTGGAGAAGTATCAATATCCAAAAATTCCGGTATTGGTGGGCTTGGTGTTGCACATGAAGGAGAGGACGGTGGTACATGAAAAACATCCTGAAAGTGTTTACGCCAGCGTTCAAGCTGCCCCTCGGATGTAGTAATGAATTTACCATGCCTGTCTCGAAGTGGCTTCCTCTTGTAACCCACTCTCCCAGCCAAGAATTTGGTGGCGCCGTACAGCTCTCTCAGGTTGCCCGTGTCAGCAGCTACCTGGGCACGATCAGCAATACTGTTAGCCCATCGTCTCCTATCATTTCTGGTGCTTCGGTAAATGCGTCGGCGTATCCGTCTGTACTGCTGTCTGAGGTCAACCCGTTCGGCGTCATTCGGGGATTCTAGGATTTTCAGGTGCAGCTCTCTCCTGTTCTGTATAAGATCCCAGGTGACGTCGGAAATCCACTCATCGCGTTTCTTCTTGGGGTAACCTAGGACTGAAGACAATGGGTACATAGGCGGACTTAATGCCTAAGGCATTTTCTACCAGTCAAACCTTGGGTGATGCAGAGATGAGCCAATAATCGGTGCAAGAAGCAAGCAAACGGCTTAATTTTAAGTCTGTTATGACATACGAGATAGATATGTATATATGTGCGTATTATTAACTACGGAAATAATAGCCGTAAAACGAAAAAATAGATATCTAATGTGATATAGGTAATGAAACTGTACTAAGAAATTTAGATGTTTCTGAAATCCCAATAAGATTCGGCGCTGGTTCAGAATATGGTCGTGATGTGCGCGAGGAGGCTCGGCGCAAGAAGTTCGGTATCATCTCCCGCAAGTACAAGCCCGAGGACCAGCCCTGGATACTCAAAGTTGGCGGGAAGACTGGCAAGAAGTAAGTAACCACTTTCTTTTATCTGCATATACTAATAAAGAAGTAAAATTTGTAATTTTATTTGTATGGGTAATCTTAAGAAACGCTAGTCTGATTTCTAAAATACTTTTACTGATATATATAGCCACAGTGTTCCCGAGTGCTATAAGCGATTTATTTACGTAGTTACTATTCAAAGGTATTTATTATCTTGTTGTGTATACTACTATTATAAAGAGGTCAAGTTTGTATGTACGGGTATTGTTTAGAACAGGTGGTCGAATTTCCAATATTCTTTCACTTATAGAGAGCTACAATGTTCCTGAGATATTTAGGCTATAAAACATCACCCTACGACCTATAGGAGCCTAGGAGCGACATTAACTAGTTTTTTAATTAAATAAAAAAGAATCTGTTCTATAATTTTATTATGATGTAAAATGTATTACAAAGTTTTTTTGTTTAGATTTAAAGGTATCCGTGAGGGCGGCGTGTCGGAACACGCGGCGTATTACGTGTTCACACACGCCGCTGATGGAGCCATCGACGCATACCCTTTGCAGGAATGGTAAGAAGATATATTTAATTATGTATATGTATACATGGTGGCATTTTTAACGAGGGACATATTAAACGACCTTATTCTGGTGATCAAATAAAATAACTTTTCCCATAAGACCAATATGGAAATCTCAACAAAAAAATATTTTGGCCTTTTGGAAATTGGTCTCATAGAAAATGTTGTTGTAATTGTTAAAAATAGACTCCTAGAATATGGCTCTCGTTCAAAATTTCATACTGTATATAATTTAATAGTGACATCAATTTAGTATGTATTCCTCAAGTAGTCAATGTACTCTTCCTTATCTGACTTTTTGACAAGTAATATTGTCATGTAATTCATTAAAGCGCTACATATTCTAAAAAACTAAACGATTAATTGTATGCTTAAAATAGATTTCGGATTATAGCGCACTTTAATATAAAAATCACCGACCAAATGTATACCAAATAAAGATTTCATTTCATTATATAAAGTCTTGTCACGATAAATAATTTCCTATTAGATGTCACTATGGATAATGTATAGTAAAATCAAGATTTTATCATATTATTATATTCTTCATAATAGAAAAGAATGAAACGCAACAACCGAATTAGTAGTAGAAAAATGTATACATAATATAAAGTATATAATATTTACCTAATACAGCTTTGGTTTGTTTCAGGTATAATTTTCAACCCATTCAGAGGTACAAAGCTCTCTCAGCCGAGGAAGCTGATGAAGAGTTTGGCAGGTAAATATTTAGCTACAGTTATTATTTATTTTTAATTTATTTTATTGGAAAACTCAGCAAACCTCGAGGCTGATTACTTGATGGTAAGCAACCGGCGCGACAAATAGACATCTGTAACGCCAAAGGAATAGCAAAAGCAGTCACTATTTGAGGATTCGTGGTGGTAGGGGATGGCGGGGGAGCAGAAAGTTTGTACCTCCGGTAACCTCACATAGTGGACATTTTCCGAGGCCATGTGCTTCTATGGCCGTCGGAGCGCGCCACCTCCAGGTGGGTCCCAAATAACGGCAGGAGGAGTTACCATCGGCGTCGAGTCGGCGATGAAGTACCTGGGTCTCGTCCTCGACAGCCGATGGAACTTCACGGAGCATTTTCGTCGTTTGGCCCCTAAGTTAGAACGGTCTGGGGCCGCGCTCAAGCGGCTCCTTCCCAACCTCGGGGGGCCAAACGCCTCCTGCCGGAGGTTGTATTTGGGGATTGTGCGATCCATGGCCCTCTACGGTGCCCCTGTGTGGGCGCCGGCCTTGAAGCGGCGGCCGGCTCGTACGCTGGTCGCGTCCCAGAGGGTCATGGCTATTCGAGTAATTCGCGGGTATCGCACGATCTCCGGGGAGGCGGCGAACCTCCTTGCCGGATCACCGCCGTGGGATCTAGAAGCGAAGGCGCTCGCGCGCGTCTACAGTTTGCGCGCAGACGCGCGTCGCCGGGGCGAAGATCCTCTGCCGCGCCAAATTAGTGCGTGGCGGAATGAGCTCCGGCGAGATCTCATGGCAGAGTGGAAACAACGACTGTCGCAACCGAGGGCCGGGCACGCTACCATAGCAGCGGTAAGACCCCTCTTTGAGGAGTGGCTTGAGAGACGCCACGGCGTCCTCACCTTCCGTCTGACGCAGGTGCTTACCGGGCACGGCAGCTTCGGTAGGTTCCTGTTTCGGATTCAGCGGGAGGAAACGCCCGAGTGTCGTCATTGTGAGGACCACCTAGAGGATACGGTGGAGCATACGGTAGCGGTATGCCCTGCCTGGGCTGAGCACCGCCGTATCCTCAGGGAAGTGATCGGCGGCGGCGACCTCTCGCGCCCGGCCTTAGTCGAGGCCATGGTGCGGAGTGAGAGGAACTGGGACGCCGTCTCCTCCTTTTGTGAAGCAGTCATGCTCGCAAAGAGAGAGGCGGCGCGCGTGAGGGAGCAATCCTCCTCCTCACGCCCCAGCAGCCGCAACTGGCGACACTACGGGCGTCGGGGATCGAGGGACGATCTCCGGCCACCGTAAGTACGGGCCTGCGGTCGGCGAGTAAGGGCAGCTCGCCGCCCGACCAGAACCAGGCCCGAGCGTACGGCGCGTAGCGTTCCGCGCGCGCCTGAAAGAGCCAATAGACCACCACAGACGGGGCCCTAAAGGGCTGATGTTCAGCCGGGGTTGCGGGGTAAGCGCAATGAGGTACCGCGACCTCGGCACAGAGCAGGAGAAGGAACAGGGGGGTTTTTAGTCAGTAAGAGTCTGACACTCCCTCCTGCCCGGCCCTGGGCGGGAGAAGTCATTTGATGATTTTCCCCTCACAAAAAAAAAAAAAAAAAAAAAAACATAGTGGACATTTCATACAAGCGTCGTATAGCCAATTTTCTTGAAGCCTTTTTGTGTCAGACTCTTACTGACTAAACACCCCGTCCTTTCTCCTGTTTTGGGCCGAGGCCGCTGTGCCACATTGTTATATGCATCATCATCATCATCAGCCTGTTGTCGTCGTCGTGGACATAGGCCTCCCCAATTGCACGCTTTATTATATGCATGTTGATTATTAATCATACTTTCTTAATACTCGATTTCAGACGCAATAAAGTGCTCAACTACTTCTCGTTGATGTTCCGTAAGCGCATGCGCGGTGATGACGCTGCGGATGACGCCGACGACCCCGACGATAAGAAGCTCAAAGGTTCTAAGGCTAAGAAAGGTAATACAACGTTTTCCTGGTCACACATATTTACTCGAGCAAAATTACTATTTGTATTAAGGTCACACATATTTACTCGAGCAAAATTACTATTTGTATTAAGGTCACACATATTTACTCGAGCAAAATTACTATTTGTATTAAGGTCACACATATTTACTCGAGCAAAATTACTATTTGTATTAAGGTCACACATATTTACTAGAGCAAAATTACTATTTGTATTAAGGTCACACATATTTACTCGAGCAAAATTACTATTTATATTAAGGACACACATATTTACTCGAGCAAAATTACTATTTGTATTAAGGTCACACATATTTACTCGAGCAAAATTACTATTTATATTAAGGTCACACATATTTACTCGAGCAAAATTACTATTTGTATTAAGGTCACACATATTTACTCGAGCAAAATTACTATTTGTATTAAGGTCACACATATTTACTCGAGCAAAATAGTGTTCTGCAATGTTTTCGTCATACTTTCAAGTCCTAAAACAGTATATATCTTATATGTAATAAAATAAGCAATCAGCGTCGCCAATGGATACCCGCAACAACGGACGTCGGACGGAGCAGGGAATCACAGTATGATTGAATAATTATTAAAAATTTAAAACTAAGAATATCAAAATACAATAATTTATTTAATTAGTTCCTTCATCGTTTCATTGCATTCACTAACAATGGAAGCCGAGAATAAATTATCCACCAGTTAAATTACCGGACACGTTAGGCGTAAACAATTAAAATCGTCAGTTACATTAATTATACAAATAATTATACAAAGTAATCATATTAGTCCAAAATTAAATACTACTAGCTACTTTCACACGGTTTCACCCGCTGCTCAGCACCTACAGATCATAGCGTGGTTTTTAATAGCCCTAAGCCTTCCTCGATAAATGAACTAACAAACACAAAAACAATTGTTCAATTCGAACCAGTAGTTGCGGAGGTTAGCGCGTTCAAACAAACAAACAAACTCTTCAGCTTTATAATATTATAGTACAGATATACAATTTTGATTTCAGATCTCAAACTGTCGGAAATGGACGAGTGGATTGATTCTGATGACGATTCCTCTAACTCTGAGAATGAGAAGGACAAAGACAATGACAGCGACACCGGATCTAACAATAAGAAGAAGAAAAAGAAAGGTACGGCACGTTTGTAGGTTTTGTTGATCATACTCGCCGTTGGTGGCGCTAGTGTCGAATTTGGCATGCATTTCTTTAGAAACGGTAAGGTTTCTCATGGGCGAGTTTGTTTTACCTATATGTTATTGAGGCCGTTGAATCGCCATGTCGGTCACCAGGAACCTTCTTGGAGGATTTTCCTCTAATGGTTTTCTTTCGGCAGTAAACGGCTTGGGAAACTTGTCTCGCCATTCGATAGGTGTGTTTTCTGAACAGACTAAAATTCTTAATAGGAGCAAAAGTACTGATTTATCCCTCCCTGTGCGGGACGACTGTGCTTACAGGCTGAATGTTTGAATTTGTATGTTTGTAAATGCAACTTTAACAAAAACAAATCATAGTGTACCAAGTTTATAGAAAGGTGTGATTATTAATTTCTTTGATTATTATATTAATATTGTGCGTTTGCATGATGCAGCGGCTGCAAATAAGAAGAAGAAGAAAGTGGAGGACGAGGCTTTCGAAGAGAGTGACGATGGAGACGAGGAGGGACGCGAGAGGGACTACATATCAGACTCCTCTGAGAGGTCGGTGTACTTCACAATTTACTTTCACATATATGGGTTATCATTTATTGCTCAAAAGTTTACTTGAAACAGAAAGTACATTGTCAAATGAATTGAATAGAGTTATTACAAGAAGAATTTAACTGGTTTCTTTTTTCGCAGTGAATCTGATCACGAGACTAAAGCCAACAAAGAATTGAAAGGTGTAGCCGAAGAAGACGCGCTCAGGTAATGTAGCATTATTAGTTCTGTGTCTTTATTTGGTGACTTACAAAAAAAACCATTATTTTTTTTTTTATTATTCTAATGATCGGCAAACGAGCAGATGGATTACCTGATGGTAAGCAATCAGCGCCGCCCATGGACACTCGCAACGGAGTAGTTACGAATGCGTTGCCGACCTTTTAGGGATTAGATTGGAGATTTAGGGATTGAGGAGAGATTGGGGGAGGGGAAGGATTGGGCCTACGGTAACCTCACTCACACGGCGAAACACAACGCTGTGGTTGTTTCACGCCGGTTTTCTGTGAGGACGTGGTATCACTCCGGTCGAGCCGACCCATTCGTGCCGAAGCATGGCTCTCCCACATTAAATTCGGATAATTATGTTGTTTACGTTGCTCTTCAATTTCTGACTCCTACGGCTACGCGTCGGTTGGCGCAAATGCTGCCTACGATTATGGACCCCATTGTTGCTTGAAACTAGTCGAGTAGTCTCGTCCAACAGTTACGAATAGAATAAAATTGCATTGTGAAAAGTTGTAATAAAAAAACCTTTTCTTCTTAATTTTGATCATAAACATTTATTTGTCTAAGAGATAACAATATTTTTTAGGAAACTTCTGGCATCCGATGAGGATTCAGAGGAAGAGCAAGAGAACAAGGAACAGGAGGAGGAACAAGAGGACGAACCCACCAAGGAGGGAGAGGAAAGAGCCAGCAAGCTTACTAAGAAGAAGAAGAACAAACCTGATGATGCTAAGAAAGGTCAGTTGGTTTATATAAGACTAGCTTTTGCCCGCGACTCCGTTCACGTGGAGTAGTGACTACCGGCAAAGTTTTGGTGTAAAAACTATCGTACGTCCTTACTCGAGTTCCGAGCTATGTCTGTACCAAATTTCACAGAAATCGATTCAGTAGTTTAAGCGTGAAGAAAAGACAGACAGACAGAGTTACTTTCGCATTTATAATATTAGTTTGGAAAGCAACACACTCGAACGGAATTTTTGTACTTCTAACGTGGTGGTGGCCCAGAGGTTAAGGCGCCCTTTTATAATACATGAGGGTTTGAAACCTGGGAATTACCAATGTGTCTTTTTCCGAGTTATATGTACTTTCTATGGTTATTTAGACACCACTGACGAACGGTGAAGGGAAACATCGTGAGGAAACCTGGACTTATAATTTCTATAAGTTTGAAATTGCTAATCCGCCTTGAGGTGATTAATGCTCAAAACTTTTTGTGGGAAGAGGCCTTTGCTCAGCAGTGGGCACTTATAGGCTGATGATGTGTTGTGTTTGTACTTCCAAGTATATTTTGATGTTTTTTTACTGAAAGCTAGAAAAGCAAACTTTCTACATTCGTGGATATCATTATGTAGTTGCTTTTCGATACCAAATCTTGTCAGATTTCGCTTATTTGTAATGTTATGTGTTACAGATTCAAGCAGTGAGTTGAGTTCGGACTCCGACACGGATCCAGAAACTAGCCCTGCGGTTAAAAAACCCAAGAAATCTAAGAGCAGTGATAAGAATGGACCCACCGCTAGCACGTCTGGTATGTATCCTTTGTATTTAAAAAAAAACTTACTGGTTTAGCTTCCACCCGCGGCTTCGCCCGCGTATGTAAAAAAACATACCAAATTAGTCCAGCTATTACACTAATAATTTTAGTAGGATAGTAGGATGGTAGGATTATAATATTAGTAGAATAGTAGGATTTGGTGCATGGTCATGAAGAGGTTGTGGTTTCAAAGCTTGGCATGTATCAATGTTATTCTTGCCGCGTTATATGTACTTACTTTCTAAGTCTATTCAGACACCACTGACTTACAGTCAAGGAAAACGTCTTTATGAAACCTACACTTACAATTTCTAACTGTAAGTTTGTAATTACAAATTCGTCTTGAGCATGGTGCTTGGCTCAAATCTTCTTCGTTGCTCAGAAATGGGCATGATAATGATTTTGAATACCAAACTGTATATTAAATCTGAATGACTAATTTTGTAGGTTGTGGATGTATACTCTGTTAAAAAGGACAGAAAGTAAGATTTATTGAATTGATTGATAAATGCAATAAATTTGTGGGATTGGTTCATTTGGAGCCAAATTTATTATTTATGTTTATTATTCTTTTACATAAAATAGTATAAGGTCGTCTTCACCGTCTTTAAGTCTGTTCTAAATCTGTTACCAACTTTCAACACTAAAACATAAATCTGCCTCATATACCTATCTCTTTCACTCTTCTTACTAGTTCATCATACTGCATCATTTTCGCTCACGCTTATCGTATGTCATTTGTCATTTTACGTTTCCTTTCACTCAAACAGTTACGTTCCTTCATTTACCTATGTCCTTTTTCCAGCTGCAGGTAGTGCGAATACGTCCCGCTCGGGGACTCCGACGCCGTCCGCGGCGCAGGCTGCAGTGGCCGCCGCCAACGCCGCCAATACCAACATGCCGCCCGCCAAGAGGCCCAAACTGGATGCTTCATACAGGTTAGCACTTTTATTCTGATCAACGACACGGTTCAACTAAATTTTTATTTTTATTTTCGACGGATGTCAAAAAAGTCAAAAGTTAAAATCTTTACAATTAGATCCTTACAGGCAGTTTTAAACGTCAAACAAAGCTTAAAGATAAAAAGTGTCAGACTGTCGGTCAGTCCTTTTAGTAGCGCTAATTGCTCGTTCCAAAGTGTAGATTTCGATGGAGAACAACGAGAAAGAAACTCCATGGTTACTCTCTTTTTAAATCAGTTCCACATACTTACACATTCTATGGTACATTAAATGATGGAATTGGGATGGAAATGAGATTGGGTCAGAGTCAAAACCATCATACTCCTTCTCCTGATCTACTAAATAGGAATACGGTATTTCCATCTAGTCAAATTCAATACTTTTATTGAAATGTGAAAACGATACTTTTCTATGAATTTTATATCATATCCTAACTTATTACGCCATAACGTTTTAAAGTCGAATACCACATTTGAATTAATAATTTAAACTATATCGTCAAATCAGTTAATGAAAGTGTAAAACATTTTAATCATTAATTCTATTTTAAAATAAATATTATTTATTTTTGACCCATAACACCCAATTCTCGTTGGGTCTCAATGTCTTAAGCTTTGTTTGACGTTCAAAAGTGTCTGTAAGGGTCTAAATGAAAATCAAAAAGTCTTCTCTAGTCAAAGAAATACTCATTTGTCTTTTATTTTCAGTGAATGCGGTGTAACTGAAGAAGCAGTACGTCGCTACTTAGCCCGTAAGCCGATGACGACAACAGAACTCTTGACAAAGTTCAAATCAAAGCGCACGGGAGTTAGCAGTGACCGTCTCGTCGAGACGATGACGCAGATCCTAAAGAGAATCAACCCTGTCAAGCAGAATATTAACGGGAAAATGTACCTTAGTATAAAAAGCACATGATTTAGCAAATATATTTTCTGTTTTGTAAATGTTTTGGTTTTTTATTGTGTAGAATTTGTTTAGACAAACTTATTTGTGGGTTTAAAATATTTCGGCCTCACAGTAAACTGGCGTGAAGCACTTAACGCTGTATGAGTGAGGTTACCAGAGACTCATTCTACGACCCCCCCCCCTCCCCTCATCTTCGATCCTCAAATCCGTAATAACCCACAAGAGGCCGGCAAGGCACTAATAGTAACTCCTTTGGTACTACGAGTGGCCATGGGCGGCGCTTATTGCTTGCCATCAGGTAATTTGTCTAATCATTTGACGATCTATGACATAAAAAACCTTTATGAACTTTAGAAAGCTGAAAATATTAGGTATTGGTACTTAATATATTACTTAACCTAACCGAAGAGTTGATTTGGGCCTACAGAATTAGGATCCGTACTTACGCCCTTTATTGAAAAAAAAGGTGATTCCGCAGATGCAATACGCACGTTGCATCTGCGGAACTGCTGGTTGGAATTGATAGGCACCACCCGTGTCTAAGTATTCATATTAAGGGACGTATTGCATCTAAACAAATGAAATTTAAGAAAACCAAAAGGCCTAACTTTCATAAATGTAATTACGTAATTTAATATAATAATCAATTTTCCTGATAGCCGCTATAAATGACCACCCATGAATATCGATATTTTCGATGCCCGTACCGCGATCGATTGAGAAATGTTGTCAATAATTTCATTGAGTAGCTAATTTTTGTAGTCTAAGTAGGTGTTAATTATAAATTTTACTGTTAGTGCATTTATTCATTGTAATAGGTACTGTAGATACTGCACTGTTGTTTTTATTAGAATAATTTTGCTTACCATGCTGTGTGATTACGCTTGGGTAGTTGGGTAGCAGACTGTGCAAAATGTTATACTGTATAAAACATTGTATCATGTCGATTGTTACCTGTTGTAATTGCCTTGTAAAATAAAATATAAAAGTAAAAATGAAAACAGGGTTGAATGAATGAATAGAAAAATGTAAAATCATAATGTATCTTTTAATAAAAGTATTGTACAACTTTGTTCATCTTATTATATTTATTTATACAATTAAATTATTCAGACTTATTCTAATTACGATATACTAGTTACTTATTAAACTACACTTAGAGCTATTTTTTCAATAGTTAGATAAAAGTTACCCGGGGAATAATTATGATGCTGTCGCGTTAGAATGTTTGTATAAGACAGTGACGGCAACAATTTTACTCCTCGGATAACATTTATCTGACTTTTGAAAAATAAGCCCTTAATACAATACAAATTTTTAATCTGTAATTGAAGGAAGCCATGTTGATATAAACAAGACTTCTATATTTTTTTTAAGGAATTCCAATTCCTTGTGCGTTGTTTTTTTTCTTATCTTATTCCAATTTTAAATCTAGCCTAGTAATAAATATCTCAATCGGTTCACAATTTATCATATTAATAATCTTTTATTTTAATTGATTTCTTAAGTATCACAGTAGGTACTGTTTATTCTACTATGTTGAGCTACGAACCTTAGATGCTATTCAAAGTTTAATTAATTATTATTGAAGCTTGTTTCAAGTTGCTTGGAATACATAATAGAAATATTATTAATTCAACGAATGTTAGATGAAAAATTTTTTTAATCGAGAAACAGTATGTAAAAACTTGTTCGTCATCATTAAAATAAAATTAGGTATGTTTTTATTCAAGCTCGTATTGAAAAATAAATGTGTCATTGAAGTAATAAAATATAAAGTTTATTATTTAGCCTATCTGTTGGATTGTCTGTGGTTCGCACAGAATAATTATTGTGCCATTAAATCGCGAGCAAATTCATAAAATTAATACGAACACACAAATAGGCACATCTTGGAACAATCAGGCACTCTTATTTATTATTAAAGCGATTTCTAATTGCACTGGTATACAACAACCTTTGTTTTTAATTAAAACTTCAATTTAATTAATTTTCATAAGGCCTGTTTTTCAATGGTCAGATAAAAGTATCTGGGGAATAAATTATGATGCTGTCGCGTCAGAATGTTTGTATAAGACAGCAACAATTTTATTATTTATAGATAACATTTATCTGACTATTGAAAGATCAGCGTTTAGTGTGATATGTTTATTCAGCACGCGTTTTCATAAAAACTTTCATGTCAAAAAAATTATGGACAATCGATTTTAATTACACTTGTCTACAATATTTTTATGGTCGACTAAAAAAACATTATTGAAGAATTAATTCGGTATATTTAAGAAACATAGTTTAGAAGGACAGAAAAGGGCAATTTTAGGAGGCACACAAACATAAAATCGCGATTAAATGCTGGATTAAAGAGCGTATTACTACTATTTCAAAAAATATACTTATAGGTAGTTATGTTTTAAGGCCTTTATACAATTATAGCGCATGAGTACTCAGTTTTATTAAATCTAAAATGGGTTCAGTACCTAATCCATGTTTTTTGATTTAAAAGTTTCTATTAAAATGCGGCTTAAACGCTCTTAGTCATTAAATTATTGACAAATGTAGGAACAGATGAAATTGAATAGGTAACTAGGTAGGTATCATTACCTATTTTTGAGGAAGGGAGTTTCAGACTCTTACTGACTAAAAACTCCCCTGTTCCCTCTCCTGCTCCAGGCAGAGGACGCGGTACCTGCACTAGCAGTAAGTAGGTAGGTAGGTACCGTGGTAAGTACCTACTACCTAAATATGTTTATGTACCTATCTATCTACCTACCTACTTAAAGATATACCTAGGTAAATATGGAAGCAATTAGTAATAAATACATATCTTTATTTAAAATCGTTGTTTTGAAAATGTCACTTGTATTGTAGAATTAAGAGTTGTGTCTGAAAAATCTAGAAAGTGATAGAACGGAGACTATATTTAATTTTAGTATATTAAGGTAGGTTTTGTACAAGTTAGGCCGCGAAATTTAAATTTAGAATATTATTGTTGATATTTGATATTGTTTTAACGATTGCGTCTGATATAGTTTTTTATATTTTTAAAATAATATTAGTCTTAATAAGTATGTTTGTGTGTTACACAATTATACTTTTTAAACCATCAATATGACTGTACATTATTTTAATTGTAGTAGTTAAATTGCAAAAAAAATCGTAATCGAAATCCTGGTCTAACTTCATCATGCACCATTTTGATATCTGTACAAAACTCACCTTACTTATAATGTTTAATTTGCTTTTAAAATGCAACTTCTGCCTACATTTTTGTCCATACATAACTACATAACATTTTCGTATCACTTTTAACAATTGGTTTCAATCTATCACCACATCAGTCAAAGGCAAACCATATATACTTAATCACACGATTTTCAAAATTACAAAAATATTCTGAAAATCGTCTACCTACAAATAATTAAGAGTTTAACTACGTATTCTAAAAGAAAGCACCTTTAAGTACATTAGTGGTATTACCCTTGAGAATGCTTGGAGCAATGTCTATTGACATTAGATCCGATAAAACCCGCAAATAGAAATTACATCGTTACGTAATAAGAGCCTTTTCTTTTTCATTCTTCCATTCCATTTCTTCGCCGTCGTCTACTGCTTTTCTGTAATGACAGTAATTTTAATGTTAATACAATATGTTATTTAGTAGAAACTGCTTTGGAAGTCTCGATATTAATAACGACAGCAGTCAATTGCTAAGTCGATTTTTATGGATACCCTACTCTGCCTACCCTACTCTACCTACTCTACTCTACCTAACCTACTCTACCTACCCTACTCTACCTACCCTACTCTACCTAACCTACACTACCTTCTCTATCCTATGTCCTTGTCCCAGCTCTTAGCTACCTCACTACCAAATTTTAGCCAAATCGGTTCAGCCGTTTTTGAGTTATAAATAGTACCAATACTAACACGAATTTCTTTTGTATACAATACAGACTTTCTTATGTATAACACTTTTTACAAAGTTAAAGTAACACGTTATAAATATCGGGACTTCCAGTTTAGGTAAACTACATCAATGACGTTGGGGAGGTAAACTACTGTAGGTACTCGCTTGTCCAAATATCCATAAATCCTAATGAAGAACATTGATGGGCGCTGAAAAGAAGATATGCTATACCAAACCAAATTCGCTCGTTAGTATTTGCGACCAGTCTTCTTCCAGCCACTGATGCAAATTCTGTCGTACCACCTTCAATCAAGTTTCCATTTCCCTAGAAAACTTGCCCTAAAAAGGGTAAAAAAAACAATGCTCATTTCTTACCTACATCACCAGAACGGAAAACAGACCGGAGTTTACTCATAACGCCTTTTGTAAAGCCACATTCCTTGAAACAGCTAGAAACGAAAAGTAAAGAAAGAAAAGTCACGTCGAGGAAGAAAAAAGGTAAGAGTAGCAATGAAAAAAAAGCAAGTCCGTGGATCAATCAACAGAAAATGACAAAACGAACAAACTCACACAACACAGACCCAAAAGCTGAAAACTCATGCAGAATCGTTTTTCTATGCAGAAAGCGACTGTGGTGTTGAAATGTATTCAAACACGAAGATCACTCTTCCAAGTAACTATTGTCAAAACATTATGAACATTGGATACAGTAGAGAGCTATTGTGGATTCAGTGGGAGAAAGTAACCAGGTGTCGCCATCGTCATGACCAACCGGAGGACATGGTGAGGCATAGGGTGGCGGTGTGCCCTTCCTGAGCTGAGCACCGCCATGACAGCGAAGTGATCTGCGGCGGAAACCTTTCGCATCCCTCCGGCCCCTAGTCGAAGTTATAGTGCGAAATGAAAGGATTTGGGATGCCGTGTCCTCCTACTGCGAAGCAGTTATGTTAGCAAAAAAGGAGGCTAAGCGAGTGAGGAACGTATTTTTCTCACGCTTCAGGTGCCCCAGTGTAAGACATTCTACTATAGCACTCGGGAATATTGCAGCTATCTATCAGTGAAATAATTTTGGAAATCCGACCAGCGATTCCAAAGATTACCCCCACAAACTTACAAATTTGACCTCTTTATAATATTAGTATAGAAAAACTAGATGAAGCCGGTATTTCCTATCTGACTACTCTGAGAAGAAATGCTATATGGTCGAACGCGCTCAAGTCAAACACAAGAAAACAACGAACATGTTACAAAATGTAGCCTCGTCACATATATTTCTAAAACTACCTAGATTATAATATTATACCTACTAATCAACAAACTCATTCACTTAGTACAAAGATTGGACACAAAAAAGGAACGCCAAAAAATACGACAGAAAAGCATCCCAACAGATAAACAAGCTATTTGTGTTCATACAATATCAATGCCATTCCTTTAATTCCTTTTTACTTTATTTCCTCTTATTCATAAGAATAAATACTTAGGTAATAAAATATTTACCCGCATAATGCTTGTTCCTGTACGAGCCGCTCTCCGTCCGCCATCGTCTGTGGCATGGGCCTGCCCTTAGTCTCAGGCAGTATGGCACTGATACCCGACCCTATTACTGATATGATACAGAGGATCAACAGTGGTAAGAGTGTCCATATTCTTTCCTGTAAAATTTAATTAAAATTTCAATTATAGATAATTCTGTAGGTAACATATATGAGGCAAGGAAACGAGCAAAATACTGAGATAAGAAAATCATTAAGGGCTGATTTTACCATTATCAGAAAAATGTTATCTGGGGAATAAAATTGTTGCTGTCACTGTCATATACAAACATTCTGACGCGATAGCATCATAATTATTCCATAGATAACTTTTATCTAAGCATTGAAAAATGAGCCCTAAGTAAAAAAAAAATATTATTAACAACGCCATAGATACGGATATTGAGTTCTTGCGACATAGCTAGTCATCATCATCATCAGCCTATAAGTGCCCACAGCTGAGTAAAGGCCTCTTCTCACACGGAAAAAGTTTGAGCATTAATCACCACGCTTGCTCAAGGCAGATCGGCGAATTCAAACTTAAAGTTAGGGATTAAAAGTCTAGGTTTCCACACGATGTTTCCCTTCACCATGTTTCAGTAGTCTCTAAACAATCTTAGGAAGTGCATATGACACAGAAAGTTACATTGGCACTTTGAGGTTTTCAACTCACACCCTCATACATGAGAAGCGAGCGTCTTCACCTCCGGGCCCCCAAGCCGTGTAGCTAGTATGTGACTTATATATGTATAAGTAATTTATTTTATGTTATAATTATATGCTAGTGAAAACAAGGCCCGAGTTTGCAATTATAAAATGGACTTGATAGACAACAAAACGTACGGTAAGTACTAAATAACATACCGAATATACTATATACGGCGAGAGTATAGAAATGACGTAGCCGCTCATATGTAGCGTGGCGGAACCCGAAGCTCGCACGGCAGTGGGCAGCAACTCCGTGGCCCACTGGATCACCGCGTTGTACGACATGTTCATGAAGAACCGCGCCATTATCGCCATTGACGCCTGGGGGATACCTGCAAACGACACAAAATACAGGATTACAAAGGACTATTACTATTTCTTTATGGAATTTCTATTTTTAGGTACTCTTTACCCTACAACTAAATCCTCACAGTTTGAGTTTTAAAGATTTTTTTTAAATAACTTTGCCCCACACTAGCATTTTCTCCTGTGTATTGGGTGCGTTTACAAACATACAATTTCACATGCACATCACAGTCAGACATAACACGTTTTCTGTAGAAACATTTTGAAATTATAAGGTGTAGCGACATAGAAACTGTTATAATATAAAGCTATTGTAAATTAACTGAAATAGCTCTACCTAAAACCTAACATGTTTCGAGTCGGGACTCTTATTTTTGAGCATTCGCAGTAACGTCGGGCAGCCGACTTAAAAGTTATTTTCGCTTATTTTTAATAAATTTAGTATGTCTCACGATAGTTACTATTCAAAAATATAACGTCATATTAATTATTTTTATACAAACCTTTTGGCACTACCATAGCTACTGCAATAAGTATAGCTGCTATAGCTAATGGCCCAGCTGTGAGTTTTCTACGACCCCACCTGAAAATCAACAAAAAAAAAGTTTTTAAAATAGATTAAAGAAACAATAATTTTCTTTTTTGGTTCCATCAGAATTTTCCTCTGATCAACAGAATTATTTAGAAATTATATAAAAATCGATCGATAATCTAGAAATTACTAAACAAAAAATATATTTTGATGATTTAACGATCAAATTTCGTTGTTACCAATGTCAAAATAACCAAGTATTTTTTTATTGCCTTATATTAACTACTGGAACCTTGTTTAAGTCTAGATACTAACAAAATCTATTCTAAGCCATATAAACTTTGAATTCCTTACCTATCAAGCACGAGGGCCAACAGAGTAACAGAAGGAATCTCCGTGGCTGAAGTCAAAGTGAAACTGATAAAGAAATCGAGGCCAAAAGCATCAGACATTCGCACGAGTCCATCGAAGATCACAGAACAGCTCATGTAGACAATCAGCATTAGAGTCATCGTTAGCCGGAGGGGAGCACTCTTCAAGAGAACCAGCAGTGACTCTTTACTATCCTTAGTTTGATTTGACGCCATCTGTTGGATATTAAAGAAATTAATTAATGATCAGTTACAAACGTGAGTAGTGTGACAGCTAACCTAATAATAATAAATAAGAAAGAAGAAGTATCAAAAACTTTGTAGAAGAAAAAAGTCTTGTTTTTTTTAAAGGCATCATTACCCCACTTTTTTAAACATTTATACACACACCCAAACTCGGAACAACAGTTTGTAGATCACACAAAGAGTTCTTCCGTTTGGTAATGGAATCCTCGACACGACCGCGTCAACCGTGCAGCCAAAATCCGTCTCGAGGTTTTCACGATATCATGATGTCTATGGACGATTTCTAGTGTCCAAGGAGGACGGAACACTTGACATGATCAGCTTATAAGTGCCCACTGCTGAGCAAAGGCCTCTTCTCACACGGAGAAAGTTTGAGCCCTCATGCATGAGAAACGAGCGGCTTAACCACCACCACGACACTAATTAAAAGAAAGATTGAAGAATGGAAGAATTAATAGCTAAATGATGTTTCAAACTTACAATGAATTCGTCCATCACATCATCCGGGACCTTAGTGCCGTTGACTTTCTCGAACTTTCTGAGGACTTCCACCGCCTGGTTGACGCGACCGCGGCTCACGTACCATCTGAAATAGAAAAAATATTGTGTCATATCTTCTTAGTAATCAGATTTTTTTACGTAATAGGTCGGCAAACGAGCATATGGATTACCTGATGGTAAGCAATCGCCCATGGACACACTCGCACCACTAAAGGAGTTACTAGTGCGTTGCCGGCCTTTTGGGGATAATAGTTGTGGATATAAGGATTGGGAAGGGATAGGGGATTGGGCCTCCGGTAACCTCATTCACAACTCGCGAAACATAACACTGTGGTTGTTTCACGCCGGTATTATGTAAAGTCGTGGTATCACTCGAGCCGACTGATACGTACCGAAGCTTGGCTCTCCCACACTTTTCCCTTTTTGAAAGAAACTTACCTAACACTCTCTGGTAGAACAAAAGGTGCGAACACGACGAGTAACATCGGCAGCGAGGTGACCCAGAGAAGCATTCTCCAATCGCCGATCCAGAGAGCTAACCAGGGTAGGCAGAGGCAGCCCATGCCGAAGTACAGCGCGATAGACATGTTGGCCACAACTGTACGGTACCGAGATCCCACGTATTCAATCACTGCAAAGAAATTCTAGGTTTAAAAATATACAAATTACATGTTTTGGAGTTAGTGAGCGAGTAGACCACGCTTTGTTCCAAAATCATCAAGTGAAAGGCAACCTCCAGCTAAGATGCTATATTCTAAAAGTTAATGGCATTGAGTCAATAAGAGCTAAAGAATGAGCAGTGGTGTGTCATTAGTGAAACAGTTTCCGTGAAAGAAAAAACATCATATATCTTCTTTCGCTCTGGATGGCCGTAAGACAGTTCTACATCGGTACATTTTAGAGGCTGTTGGAGAATCCTAAGCGCCGTGGTTGTCATGAGAACGCGAGATCCTGATAGTACCCATGGGACTTCTAAGTCCATTTAGACATCACAGACATACGGTGAAAGAAAACGTCCTAAGGAAATCTGGACTTATAATTTCCAATTGTAAATTTGAAATCGCCAATCCGTCTTGAGTAGGTGTGGTGACTAATGCTCAAACTTTCTCCGAGTGAGAAGAGGCCTTTGCTCAGCAATGGGCACTTATAGGCTGATGATGATGATGATGATGATAGTAATGAGTCTAAGCCTTACCTAAGATATAAACCATCATGAACACGTTGTCGAAGGACATCCCCACCAAGAATCGACAGAGAGTGAAGTCCCAAACTCCCTTCGTGAAGATTGTAGCTATGCCTCCAATACCGCCGATTATGTTGGCAGCTAAAAAAAATGTATGAAAAAATTAATATTTAGCTTTGTTGGTTTATAATTTTTAAAGTTTTCTTTGATGTGATTTTAAAGGCTTACCCTAATTTAAATGGAAATGAAATGGACTATTACCACGGCCTTACAGAAAAATGTTGTTGTCATCTTAAAATCCCAAATTTCCTAACCTTCAAAAGGAAAGCACTTCCAACTTTTCTGCGGTTTTGCGAAAACGTTTATTTTTTATTTTTTATAAGGTACATAGGTCGGCCTAATAATATGAGCATGGATTACCTGATGGTAATGGATGGATTACCTGATGGGCCTTTGGTGGGATGTTAGGGATATAAGGATAGGTGATTTGGGAGTGGAGGTTGGGGGAGAGGGAGGATAGTATCTATCTAATAGCAACGACCAAGGAGCTCCCATGGTACGTATAACACGCACATATTCGCAAATGCAAGTATGTAAACACCATTTTTTTATCAGACATTTAGGTCAACAGATTTGTGTTAAGAAGCACAAATTAAGTCACATAAATAAATATGATGTCATTCAAAGTTGTTATCCTTAAGACCATAGGTACATACTTAGTTGATTAAAAAAAATATATTAAAAAAAAGCCGCTTAGGAATGGAATTCTTCGCCAGATTGTGCTCCCCGAAGGATGTAACCTGGATGCCTTCAAGCCTTGAGTAAATAGGTTGCTTATAGTAAGGCATGCTCCATCGTAGGTCCCATTTTCGCTTACACTTACTTAAACGATTTCTTATCATTTGCAAATAAAGAAACTTTTTATTAGGGTCAGTTACAAACAATTTAAGGATCGTCTATACTCTATACTAATATTATTATGAGGTAAAATTTTTAAGTTTGTATGTTTGTATGTGTGTAAGTTTGTTTGTAGATCTTAGGAACGACTGGTCGGTTAGGGTGATTCTGCAAAAAACCTTAACTTTTATTTAACAAGTCATTATCCTCCCAGGTTTTTAAGCATCTTAGTAATTTATTTTATACAATATTTTTAATCGGTTGCTTGTAAGCAGTGGTGAGATTTAATTTAATAAAATAATTATCTGTGTTTTAATCAGCAGACTCGTTAATTTTCGGTTGAGGATAATGACATTATTAAATTTTTTTTATTGTGAAATTTTTTGTGAAGAATCACCCTTTACCAAAATTCTTTCACTGATAGATAGCTACAATATTCCTGAGTGCTATAGGCTATAAAAGATCACGCAACGATTCAATGGAGCCGAGCAGCGGGTGAAACCGCGCGACAGTAGCTAGTAAGTAATTACAGCTTGTTAAAAACTTAACAAGTACACAAATGAAAATGTGACAAATAAGTAATTATTGTGTGTCTGTTTCCCACAGCGGATGAGTAACTTCTTTAATTACAACACATGTTGACAATTTGTGGACCTCGAATGTTTAATAACAAACATCTGTCATGGCAGTCAGTATGAAGTATCTAAGCTGATTTTTTGATAAACCATTGTCATGATAAAGTTGAATATTTATCTTTGTTTCTACGTTGATATAATATTTTGTTAAAAAACCGCGTGACTGCATTTTTGTATTACGAAATATTTTTTTTATTTTTTAGTAGCAAGCACCTTTGGTAGTTTATTTGCCGTGTCTGAAGACTATACTTAGTTTATTTGTAACTCTGTAATTTCCCCGTAGATATCGTAAGCATTAGGTCCAATCTTTTCTCCCCCCCCCCCCATTCTTAAATATACGAAATCCTAATCCCCAAAGGCCGGTAACGCACTTGTGGGTAACTCCTTTGATATTGCGTGTGTCCATGGGCGGCACCGATTGCTTACCATCAGGTATCTTATAACAAAAGGAACTTTATAGAGAGAGACCATGCAGTGCTCTCTGATAAACCTGAACCTTCTAAACTGCGATTTCCAACTCGCCTTCTTAGCTAGTCTGAAGATGATGGCAGATCCTTCGTATGCAGAGGAGACACGGTTCATAGTTCAAGTCTGATGGTGACACCTGATGTATTGTTACTTACCCATGACAGCGGGTACTCGTCCAAAATGATCAGCTAGCCACCCGAGGATAAGGCCGCCCATGAAGGCTCCAGCGAAGAATACAGCCTGAGCCATTGGCACGTTCTGCGAGTGTTCACACACCCAGCCTCTCTGGAAATACCAATAACAAACAAATTTAAGTTTTAGGTACAAAATTGGGGCGTTATATTAGTAGTACTTAGTAATATAATTACCGTCAGTTTTTTTTTTAAATTACCTTTGGACTAGAAGTTTCTATACTGTACCCTGAGCCCGATTATAAACCCACACATCCAGAAACACATGACACCTAGATCCGGAAATATAATTCTGAATCACGGAAAGTGTTTCAAACTTGGCTTTGACGTTATAAAAGTACCTTTTTAATATGTTATTCCATATTTTGACTATAACTTTGACTTGCTAAGGGTGAGTGGAATGGGAGTAAGTATAAGACTCTTACTGACTAAAATCCACCCTGTTCTTTCTCCTGCTCCAGGCAGGCTGAGACTGTGGTCCCTTGTTGCGCTTGCCCCACAATGGACAACCTATCGTCTTCTACCTTTCGAATCTTTTCCTTTATCCACAATAGAATACATAAACATCTTACAACAGAAAGATTGAAAGATTGGCTGCACGGTTGGCGCGGTGGCTGGGTAACTGGCTGCTACAACGTGTCGCGGGTTCGATTCCCGCACGGAACAACTCTTTGTGTGATCCGCAAATTGTTGTTCCGGGTCTGGGTGAATTTGTATGTTTGTAAACGCACCCACGACACAGGAGAAAATTCTAGAGAGGGGCAACATTTTCTTTTAAAAAAAGAAAAAATTTGTAATTCGTCGAATTAATAATTACCTCGCTAACAACAGTGGCATAAGGTATATCACTGAGTTCAAAGTCCCAGCCATGTTGGCAAGGTATGGTGGGCGTGTCTGCTGGGGGCGGGGTCATCGTCTCCAGCACTTGAGTCCAGTTCGCATCATATGTGACGCATCGCTCCCAGCTACCTGACGCGGCTCCTGGCGCTGATAGGTTGCGTCTGGAATTGTAATACAGTATTATAAATTAATTTCAATTTCCCTTGCTTACGGCATTACGTGTAAACGCCTAGATCGGTTCCGAAAATGCCTTTAAAGCTGTGTGACATAACATCAGCAAAGGTTCTTATAAAAGAAAATTTCGAATGGGTCGGCTAGAGGTATGTGGATACCTCTATTTGAAATTCACACGGCTTCACAGAAAACCGATGTGAACCAACCGCAGCATTATGTTTTACCGTGTGAGTGAGGTTCCCGTAGGTCCGAACCTTACCCAGCCCTCCCCAATCCCTAAAAAGCCAGCAACGCACACTCTGATGTTGTGGGTGTCCATGGGTGACGTCAATTCTTTACCATCAAGTAATCCGTCAGCTCGTATTGCCGTCCTATGCCATAAAAATATTTTAGAAAATTAAAGACGAAAATCGGGAACGCATCGGATCCTTAACAAAACAAATAACTCTGTCTGACGTAGTTTGATATTTGTGCGAAGCAGGGGCGTGTCGCTAGTTACTGATAGTGATAAGATATCATACGTTTCACTTCTTTACGATATGGGCGTCTCTGTTCCAAATCGTTTCTGCTGAACACATATGAGTTGTTGTTCAAACTTTATCCGGGATCTGGTTGTACCCTGTTGTTATTTCACTAATAAAATATACATAAGTGAATTTTATATTGGGTCAGATAATGAACAAAGGGTGCCAGGATTGATTCCAGGTCTTTCGATCATCCGAACTATCCATGAGACTTTCGCAATGCAAATAGCAATAATTTGTTGTTACATTGTGCTCTTCCTTTTCACGGGACCAAAGGGTCCCGGACCTTTGGAAGGCATACGAGGAGCCGAAGCCAACTCGCAGAGGCCCGTTCAGTTTTAATCTAAATGTGATGGGACATCAGCCGGCAATTATCCCTGTATGCACTACATAAGTGCACCCAAGGACAATCCCCGGTTGATGTAGGACTAATTGTGCATAATGGTAAAAGATTATATGGTTATGGGTGTGGGTGGCTTTGGACTGGTAGATGATAACTATAGAAATACTATGGCCCCTGCCCCTGACCAATATTGTTATTTACGGATAACAGGCAGGGGGTGACTGGCAAACTCAATTAATGGGCCCCCGGAAACGGCCGCTAGCATGTAGCGACACGGGGGCAACATACGTTGAGCTGCTTTGGGAAGGAGAGGCATCCCACGGCTATCAGAGCAATCCCGGAAGAACGGTAAAGACCCCTACCAGCACCTTACTGAAATACATCCTTCCCCCGAGTCTCCTTCAACTCCTACTCATTACTACATTGTGCTTATTATTATAAGGTGAATATTGTGATGAATAAAAATAAATAAATTGAAATGCTCATAAATTTAACAAAATACTACAATACAAAACTTTCATTTCCGAATACAAGTACATACCTACTTTTATCTCATATCTAATCTGAAAGTCAGACCATATCGAGCGGGATAAGCATTTCGTTATATTTATCTGATTACCACGCTATCCTGGCATTGGATGAGTTTTGATTGTCAGCCAAGCAGCTTACTTTATCATAGCTATAGGCTTGCAAATTTTCATATCTATAAGTAGGTATTTATATGCCAAAGATATGTATGTAGTCAGGTTCTGGCTGAGATTTTTATTGTTTTATTAACATTTTTATCATCATCAGGCTATAAGCGCCTACTGCTGAACAAAGGCCTCTTTTCACACGGAGAAGATTTAGGCATTAATTGCCACGCTTGCTCAAGGCAGACTGACTATTTCAAAATTTTAAATTAGAAATTATAGTGCCAGGTTTCCTCATGATAATTTCCTTCACCGTTTCTCAGTGGTGTCTAAAAAGACGAAGAAAATTCGTACCACTTAGAAAATTCACATCGCTACTTGCTAGGTTTCCAACACGTGCCGTTTTGCATGAGAAGTGAGAGCCTTATCCTGCGAGCCACCACGACCAACATTATTGGTAAGTATTATAGTATTGATACTTAAGGTACTTTGCAATGGTATGTTATGTGTCAGAAATTAGTAAAGCTTTGTAATCGTCATTAAAACTACCAGAGATGAGATACATAATAAAATATAACTGTATTAGTAACCGTATTCGTTTCACAAGTTTCGGGTGCGATTTTAAGTGGGAGGGCTATAAAAGTTCACGCTACGATCAAATGGAGCCAAGCAGCAGGTGAAACTGCGCGAGAGTATATAGTATGAAATAACTATAAATCCCGCAAACTGGTAAAATATTCCTTCATCTACATCCGTATATAGATCCGATTCTCGAATACCATATCTATCACCTTCAATTTACATTAAAAAAGAAGGCAGATATTTCCATAGTTTGTTTAATTATTTATCCAGACAATAACAAAAACCGTAATCGTTCTTTGTAGCACTTCTAGCTTAAAACCTCATTTCACTAAAGAAAATGGCGCGAATAGAAAACAAAGGCGCGAGGGTAGCACGTGAAAAGCGAACAACTTTTATTATGAATGAAGTCCTTACAGGGGCCACTAGACTTTTTAACGCAACCTTTTCAGGATACAGCGATTGTATTAAGATTTTATGCAGTAGTCTTTCTAATGTCTTTGGAAGATATATGCACCACTGACAAAGACACTTTATACATATGTCTATGTAAAATAGTGTTACTTATTTGAATTTCGATCACGCCGGCCGCCATATGCTTTCTAATGTCAGAGTGACAGTTATTTGCGCGGGAAAGTGTTTCTTAAAAAAGCAGCACTTAAACTCGTTTAAAATTTCGTATACTATTATCTTCACATCATCACCCTATAAGTGCCCATTGCTGAGCAAAGGCTTCTTCTTACGAGGAGAAGATTTGAGCATTAACCACCACACTTACTCAAGGCGGATTGGCGATTTCAAACTTATAATTAGAATTTATAAGTCCAGGTTTCCTTACGATGTTTTCCTTCACCGTATGTCAGTGGTGTCTAAATTATCATAAAAAGTACATATAACTCGGAAAAAGTCACGTTGGTACTTGCCAGATTGCCACCCCAGGAGAGAAGCTTAGCTTAGCTTAACCTCCGGGCCACCACGATCATTATCTTACATCTTATTTAAGTATAGTAAAAACAAACCTGACTTCCATATCCAGATGAGCCAATTCAGGTATAGCACACCAGTGGTTCTGTGGTGTGGCGGCTATGAACATCTGCACGAAGTAGACGAAGGCGAAGAATATACCGAAGGGCATCATGACGATGAAGAGCAATTTCTGGTACCGCCCCATGTCGCCAATATGGCTGAGCACAGCATCCAACGCGTCCGCGTCATTCTTCGGCTTTTTGGTAAATTGTTCTTTAGCATCCTGTGAAAGAAAATGATTACTTAGTGATCTTTGTTAAATTTATTATTTTCTATGGTCGTCTGCCCTTTGGAAAGGGTATAAACGAGCAGACAGATTACCTAATGATTAGCAATTATTGCCATTTATGGACAACCGTAACACCAGAGGACGTACAGATTACAGATAAACTTGTTATTGATATTCTCTTTTCTTTGGTTGGAAGGTTTCCTAATAAGCATTTGTAAACACACCTACAACACACAAATGCCAAAACTTTTAGTGTGGGGCATGTAACTTTGGGCAGATTATAGATAGAGTCTTTGACGGTCTGTTAATTGGGAGATTTGGTAGTATACTTTTTTCTTTGTTTGAAGGTTTCCTGAGGAAATTTGCAAACAAAACCACATCACACAAACGCCAAAAATGTTAGTGGATCAAATCGATCGAAGCAAAACATTGCTTAATGAGGGCATGTGACTTTTAAAACTTTGCATATTACAACAAAAGTCTGTATTGGGCTTTTTACTTGTCTGCTGATCTTATACCAAAATCGAGCATGTGACTTTTAAAACTTTGCATATTACAACAAAAGTCTGTATTGGGCTTTTTACTTGTCTGCTGATCTTATACCAAAATCGAGGAAGATATATTTGAAGGCGATGGAAACATTGCTCAGTCCAATGACCTTGAATCTCCTTAAAATACCTGTAGTATCGTAAGATTAATTTATCAAAATTATACGAGTTCCATATTCAAAACGAATGTTGTTGATTCCTTTAACTAAATTTTATTAAAAAAAAACTGTAGTTACATTTAATGTAAGTTTCTTCGATACTAATCTTTTGAATTTAAATCCATACCTAGTTTTGTATAATATACTAAATCGCGCATGTAATTCGTTATGTTTTTGTATTTTCTATACTTATATCTATCTTTTTTATCATTTTATTTTTTACTTGTCTGTAATTAAAAGTTTGAATACCTATACTTCATTATTTTATATATTTTATTTGATTACTTACTTTTTTATAAGAAGGTAGACTATAGTTTACCATAAAAATATAATTATATAAAATTCCCACAATAATAAAAGACGCTATAAACCTAGGCATTAGGCATATTAATTAGCACCTATTTGCTTGTCATTTTACACCGAGATGACTAGGTACATAAAAGATATTTGTTGTGTTTTGCTAGAAACACAGCGTTTTTTCTTCTGAAAAAAGAACTACCTATTTTAACATTATTTTACAAATCACAAATCATAGTTTCGGGTTTCGGCATTGACCAAGGCACATTTACGCGCTGCCATTTTCTTGAACATACAAGAGTAATAATTAAATTCAATAAATTTTACTAATTATTTCTAATAATATATTCTTTAGAAAACGTAAATATGTCATTTTTTGATTTCATTAATTGTATGCAACATACAAGAAATTTGAAACGTCGACATGGGACTTTCTAGTTTTGCAAGCGGTTCTCCCGGTAGATAATGATAATAATTTAGCCTTAAGCCGTCCCTGGTAAATGGACTAACCAAAGCAATAAGATTGTTTTCCATTCGAAACAGCAGTTCCTGAGATCAACGCGTTCATACAAAACGAAACTGACTTTTAAAAGAGTAACCATGGTGTTTCTTGCTCGTTCTTCTCCATTGGAATCTACACTTTGGAACCAGTAAATACATAGTTTCACTAAGGGGATTTTATATTTAAGCTTTGTTTGACGTTTAAAAGTGCCTAATTGAAATAAATGATTTTGACTTTTCACAAACAAACTCTTCGACTTTATAACATTTAAGGGTGATTTTTGAATGGTTAGATAAAAGTTACCTGTGGAATAATTATGATGCTGTCGCGTCAGAATGTTTGTACAAGACAGTGACAGCAACAATTTTATTTCTCATATAAAATCATTTTCTGACTATTGAAAAATCAGCCCTTAGTGTAGATTAGGAGTATCTAGTAGTATTATATACTACTATTTGTTCGATAGGTATGAAATCAAACAAGACAGCTTGGTAAAAATCTATTAAAAAAAGATGGAAAATTTTGTGTTCCCTTGATTAAATATCTCAAAATAATCTTTTAAAACTTGCAACTAACAACCAATTACTCAATTCTTATTACTCTAGAATCTAACTAAACCGGTTACCTAAATCGAGAACTTTTTGACAGCTTTCTATTATGTAAGTAGAGTTCAACGTCCTATATTCAATATAAAATATTAAAGCAGTTCTGTTACTAAGCACAATAACAAAAAAAAAAATGTTCGCACTAGCTTTAGGGAACAAAAAAGTATGACTATTTTGAATATTAACGACACGAGAACGCAAATCTTAAAATAGATATTGAATCGTCATAAAAACTAGATATGGATGACATTTTGTTTATTACAAAACAACAAAAAAAAACAAGGATGTTTATATATTTTCGACAAATGCAGAAGAAACGATTGTATTACGTTAATCAATTTACGTTTGAATTAATTAATTAAAAACAATTTAAGCGTATCTATAGAGTAATAAATAAACAATTTATTTTTTGCATGATAAAAATTATAATGGCTAGTTTTTATAATGGCTATTACCTAGCTTTAGGTCCCTCCCCAATCCTTGCGGGGGGAGAAACGGACCTGCTGTAACTGACAGTTGAGACAGTAGGTTGTTTCACGCCGGTTTCCTATGAGGCCGTGGTTTCACTCCGGTCGAGCCGAACCATTCGTGCCGAAGCTTGGCTCTCCTACACTTGGCTTTCAATGAGTTGTATTGTGTAATAGGTGAACTGGTTCGTTGTGTGCTAACCAAGTAACCTAGGTTTGTGGTTAGGTCATGGACGATTTTAATTTTATTTTTTTATCACAGACACCTAATCAACCGGGTTGCAAAAATGCTGTTGATCTGTCTAATTGTGATTAATTTGCTAACAGCGCTATTAGCCAGATTTGCTTTGAATAAATTATATGAAGTCATGGTAAGAACGGCGACATTTATCGAAAAAGTTGACTCAGATCTGGTAAACATTGAGACTGCAATCTCCATTCCACTTGCTTAGAGTAAAGCGAACCCATTCTACAGGGGGCTAGACCAATAGTGCTAGACTCAAGCAAGAGATTATCAGGAGCTGCTGATGATAAAAGTGATGATCATGCTCGGCCATTAGGTAAGCATTAGGGATGGTATTTTGGATTTAGATACGGATCTCGGTATAGAAATTAAAATTATGGTACGGCCGCTGTAACTTGGCGAGTCTGAAGTTAGCCGTTTGTCTGCGCAATGGATCTTTTAGGAACAAAATTGCGTACTGCGCAGCTAATCGGTTAACTTTAGACTCGCCAAGATACAACGGCCGTATTATATATATGGTTATAAACTAGATTGAAGCAATATACTTAATAGTTACCAAAGAGGTTATGTTATGACGAGAAATAGGTAATAAACAAACTGGAAGTTTTTAGTGACGAGCGTAAAACAAAAACCTGTCGAAACACACTTTGTTTAAATTCTGCTCTTATCCGAAGCTTGTCGAATGAACAAGATTTTTTTATGACATTGATCGTTATGGTCTCACATACTACCTGATGCTAAACAATCGGAGCCACCCACAGATAATCGCAACACCAAAGGAATTACGAGTGTGTAGTCTTTTGACCACACACGGATAAGGATTGGGGAGGGATGGGGGCAGGAGAAGAATTGGGCCTTCTGTAACCTCACTGACACGACAAAACACAACGCTGTGGTCGTCTGTGAGGCAGTAATAGTTTTTAAATATGTTTTGTTATTTTATTGTTTATTCACTAACGACAATTACGCCTCCAAGCGGGTAGTTTATGAACTAACGAACTGTGAAGAAGATTTCATTTCATTAAATTTATACTTTAACACATCTACGATAGAGGAAAAAGCTCTTGCGTGTAGCGATAAATAAATCGATACTATCCGATGTTTTACTCGTCATTAGAGAAATCCATTAAGTAGCCCTTCATTAATGGTGAAATCAGACATCGATCATCAACAATCGAAGAGAATCGAAAGACAAGAATCTACTTATCACTTCTTATCAAATAGGTCACGGTCATAGTGATGAAACACCAAAACATCAACTGGACATCTTTATCATAATTAAAGAGGTCATTGAACTTAGAACTACGAAACATATCCAAATAACATTAAAAAGTATTAGGTATTTATTTCAATTAATCGTCAAGATAAAGAATCACTTGAATCGATATTTAGGTAATCGTAATCTTTATAATCCGAAGGCGTTTTCCCTAATAATTAATACCTAATTAGTAGTGATAGGTACTTACCTATCGTCATATATTTGGTAATCGCTTTGATAAAACACTGATTGCGAGTACATAAACAAAATAATATTGCTTCATTTACCTCTTTCTCTGGTTAACGTCATTTTATTTGTTAGTAAAATTTGACTAAGGAATGATTTTTCAATATAGTCAGGCAAATGTTATATGAGGAATAAAATTGTTGTTGTCACTGTCTTATACAAACATTCTGACGCGACAGCATCATAATTATTCCCCAGGTAACTTTTATCTAACCATTGAAAAATCATCCCTAAGGAACATTATAATACGTATCTATTTATTTTATCAGTGATATGTATTATTTTCGTTTGTATTAGTAACGTGTTACTTAGTGCACTTGATAGGAACCTATTACAAAACGGAGGAATAACTCTCCGGTAGCCTCAATCACACGGCGACAAACAAAACACAATCCAACATGGCGTTAGCCGAGGTTACGAGGCAATAAGGTACTGCTGTCTTAGCTTGGAGTAGTGTGTTGGTTTTAAGTCAGTAAATTTCTGACACTAAGAGAGGGGCATTGATTGATTATCCAATCATGGAAGATCTCTAGGTAAGTTTACTGTTTAAATTATTAAAATAATTAGTTTGCTTTTTTTGCGAGGGGAAAGTCATCACATGATTTACCCCAAACAGGGTGGCACAGGAGGGAATGTCAGACACTTACTGACTAAAAACCCACGTTCCATCTCCTACTCTAGGCCGAGGCAGCCGTGCCTTATTGCGCTTGCCCCACAAATTGTATTCTGATCTGCTAGTCGAGATCTAGAAGTAGAGTTTGAAGTTCAGACAACACACATCTCAAAAGTGTAACAATAAATTCCACCTCTGCTATTTGATAAATAAACTTACGTTTTATTTCATAAACCTAAACCTAGCATTTATAAACTAAGTATTACTTATGTATTTCGTTTAAAAGAGAGAAATTTCGTCATAACAATTTTGCAGATAGCATAACGAGTTACGAAGGAACTCTAGTTGTTGGGCAAAACAATAAAGCCTCCTTGGTGGTTTAATTTTCTTTGTTGTTGGTGTACCATAGTTTCAATAGCAACATTTTTAAACAATGGAATAATTTTTGAAAATAGAATCAGCTGTTCAAATAAATATACTAATATTATGAAGAGGTAAAATTTGTAAGTTTGTATGTAGGGGGCAATCTTTGCAACCGCTGGTCGAATTGCCAAAATTGTTTCACTGATGACAATGTTCCTGAGTACTATTGGCTATCTAGGCATCACGCTACGATCAAATGGAGCCGAACAGCGGGTATAACTCTCTAGACATATATGTCATATAACAATATTATATAAATAACTACAAGTTTTTAAATGAGGAAGGAAATATGTTTTATTATTATTTCTATAGTACCTAAGTTATTTTTAATTATTTGTTATTAATAAATAGTATGTTAGTACGAGTATATTATTTTATTAGGTAAATAAAATAATGGGAGAAGATAAAATGTGTCATTTTAATAAAAAAACCCGTGATTTTATTTAATTATTATTAAACTCTTTACTTACAAACTTTTTAATTTTTAACTTTTTCACATTTCTTCATTACGTAATATAAAACAAAGTCGCTTACTATGTTTTTAAGTATTTAACAAGCTTTTGTTGATACTATATGTATATTTTATTTAGGTTATTTTGTGACTCGTTGTAGTAAGAGGTCACGGTAAGATTTTTATCTATTGGTTTTTTCCTCAAAAGACTACTACAGAACGAACTTGCACGGCTCTCCAACATTGTTTTATATTTGGCTGGACTTTAAAAGCGACTGACCTCTGAATTTGTTTTGACATTTCTTCTAAGAGAAGATAAGAAATGCCAGCCTCATAATTTTTATTATATAACATTTATGTATAAAAGTTCAGTTTGAAATTCATTGTAAACTCAAACTGTATGTGTAAATCACAAATGAATTAAACACTTGACATAACTATAGGTATAAAATGATCTACTAAAATACATAATGTAGGTGTGTATGCATAAAGACCATCTGAAATTTATTAAATCGATATCGATCATAGTTGTCCAACACGCCAGAAAAACGATAAAACTGTTAAAAAAATCGATAAAGTATAAAAATTGAATTGAATACTAACAGTAATCGTGGTCAGCTGTTCGCCGGTAATCACTTTCAGTTCGTGCGCCGGCGCCGAATCCATTGCACGTGGTTTCACGAACTCGATAATATTATCAAACACCCGTCCCTCTGGTATGGAGTTCACTTACTGAGTGATAAACTTTCGGCGCCCGATCATATATTTACCGGATTGATAACACTCGGTACCCTGGGAACGGACGAATAATACCTAAACAATTGGGCCTATCCAATTGTTGATAACAATCCGATATTGATCTGCGTACAAGGTTACAGAATGACGAAATAAAGAAAGATTAAGTTCTGACTAATAAATAAATAAAGTATTAATAGTACCGTAGAGTGTGGTGGGTTTTTCGTAATGATTGACTGATTATGTTGTAAATAAACGATCGAGATCGTAATCAATCAATGCGATTGTTGTCAAGTAGACTAATTAGTTAGGTTTAGGTACATAGGTGTCATATTTACGTTCGATTTAATGTAAATTTTGATTAATGTAGGTAGGTAATATTATGAAGCTGAAAGTTTCGTTTGTTTGAAAGCATTTTTCTATGAAAGTACTATAGTGTATTAACGAAAATAATGATGGCCAGCAGCGTGTGTATTTTTCTTAACTTTGTCCTAAAAATTGTATGTATAAATTCTTACGATATTTATTTGTTACTATCTGACCTGGCTAAGTTCGTTCCGCCACAAAATTAACTAATGTTTCCTAACCTTTTAAACCTTCTCTGGACGTCAACAAATATTTTATGGGTAAAATTATCCTAAACGGACCAGCCATTCTCGAGTTTTAGCGAGACTAACGAACAACAATTCATTTTTATAAATTAGAAGAAAGATTTATTCACAACAGTAATACATTAAGAAAAAAAAAATTGAGATGCATAGGTCTTACTACAAGTTAATCCTGACAGCCTACTATGACGTGTTAAAGCGTGAATCTTCCGGGTGAGAAAGAGGGATGGAACTATAAAAGGTGTAAAGCTCCATCCCTCTTTCTCGCCCGGAAGATTATCTCTACAATTACAGAATAGAAATATATTTTTTCAAAAATAAGGACCTGTACATCTTTTGGTTGGAGTAAGTACCTAAGTAAATGTTTTTGACGTCGCCTTTGAATTTAAATCGATGTTTTCAAAACATATTAATGCTATAATTAATCTTTTTGATAAAACTTCCGAACGTAAGACGTCAAAGCTGTCGTCACAATGCGTATATTTTGACCTGACCCAAAGACCAAAATAGATGTGAATAAAAACTGATTTATAATTAAAAAAATAAATAAAATAAAATTATAAAATTTGAATGAATGCAATTTATTTTTTAATAAATTTACATTAAAATCTATAAAATTATACAATAGTCTTGTTCTTTCGTAGGTATCTATTTTAATGAATATTTTAACATACAAAATAAACAAACAAAATTATATATTAACTAATTTCTTCCTGATTTTTTTTACGTGGCAAACGAGGTGACCGAAATTGAGGGTATTACCTGATGGTAAGCAATCGGCGCGACCCATAGACACCCGCAACACTAAATCAGTTAAATGATGAGTGCGTTGCCGGCCATTTAGGGATTACGGTTTCGAAATTGGGAGGGATGGGGCGAGGAGAAGGATAGGGCCTCCCGTAACCTCACTCACACGGCGAAACACAACGTGTAATTGTAGCATGATGATTTTCTGTGACGACGTGGTATCATTCCGGTCGAGCCAACCCATTTGTGCCGAAGTTCGGCTCTTTCACACTTGGATTGCTTGCTTCCAACCAAACGCTTGTCAATTTTTTTTCGCAATGACATTTATAAAATTGTCACCCATCATCAAACAGGCACAATGAACAATAACAAAGCCAGGAAACGAAACTAATTAGCAAATTTAACAAATGATTGACAAAATTAAACGGCTGTGACTAAGTAAGTAATGATTTTACGCCAAAGGTGTGAATTACTAAAAAAATCTTCTAATTAAGTATTTGCTTCTAGAAAATTCCATCACCTTAAACATAATAATAAATATTTGAGACTGTGACTGATATCTTTAAGTGACTTCAATTTTTGCACAAGCTAGATGGCGCTACTGGCGAATTAAGACCAATCAATCATTTCTACAGTCTAATTAGGCAGTAGGTACAGTCTAATAATTAGATTATGATTAAAATATATGTAACACAGAACTTATTATACAAAGTCTAGACAAATAATCATAAACACATGTTATATCTACTTTATGAAACACAATTAAAATAAATTAGCATTTATATTTAAGTTTACGAACTATTGTTCAGTTAATTAAAAGATTGCTTGGAATAAATGAGACTCCCGGTCACAAGGCTGGCAGGATTCTGAATAGTAGAAATATGTTTTGTTCAAAAACTTGGAGTAATAAATCTGGATCAGTTGTTAAAGCCAATATCATCACAGTCATCGCCAGCCCTATAAGTGCACACGGAGAAGGTTTAACCATTAATCACCACGTGTGCTCTTTTCGCAGGCGATTACAAACTTATAATAAAAAAATAATAAGTCCATCGCTCAAGGGGGATTTTAGACTTATATTCCGAAATTGAAATTTTAGATTTCCTTACGATTTTTTTCTTCATCGCTTATCAGTGATGTCATATTGGTCATGCCAGGCCTTTCGCCCTCTTGAATGAGAAGCAGCATTAACTGTCGAGCCAGCATTACCATTTTTTTTATTACTTACTACTAGTATTTGCCCGCGACTTCGTTCGCTTGTAATAGTGACTTCCTGCAGATTTTTGGTATAAAAATTATCCTATGCCTCTTCTATATTTCCAAACTATGTCTGTATCAAATATCACAGAAATCTGTTAAGTAATTTAGGCGTGAAGAAAAGACAGACACAGACAGAGTTACTTTCACATTTATAATATTAGTTTGGATTGACTCTGATTCTGATTCTGTGGTGCGATTTCACTCGCTGCTGTTGATGCTTGCTGATATTTGATAGCTAACAAACACAAAAAGGATTATTCAATTAGAACCAGTAGTTCTGGACATTAGCGCAATCAAACAAACAAACAAACTCTTCAGATTTATAATATTACTATAGATTAAAAAGGAATGGAAACTTAACGTTTATATTTTTGCTGTTTGTGGGAAGTTTATTTCTAACAGCGGGCAATACCTAATATCTAATCAAAGAATGAATTCATTTTTTTCTAATCTTAAATGAAAGAATTATTAATAACTATAATAACAATGATGTAATTAAATGAAATCCTGGTTACCTGCCTACTTCTTAATCCGAGATAAACATTTATCTAAAAGATAGGTATAAAGATACCTACCGTTGGATCCAAACTTACATAATTATGTTCGACATTTCTTTATTCGTTGGGCAATTGAGCAATGACTGTGAAATCGTACCTAAAGCCTTTCTTTTGTTGATGGGTTAAAATCGTCAAATGATTTCTTTAGCCCTGGGTGGGTAAATAAACTTCGAAAGTACAATATTTCGAATTCTTTGCTGGAATCTCTGTTCCCCGAAGGGTTTCTTTAAGGCCCGAGTGAATAGGTTGCTTATGGGTATGCTCCATCGTAGGTCGCATTATCGTTTATCACCAGGCGTGATAGCGGCCAAATGTCTGCCCATTCCGAAATAAAAAGAAGTAAGCATAAAAAACAATTATCTATACTTATATGCGTAAATAGGTGAACAAGTAGAGCACAGCCGGAGTCGGGGGCAAGCGCAATAAGGCACCGCGGCCTCGGCCTAGAAACAGGAGGAAGAACGGGGCCTTTTCTAGTCAGTAAGGGTCTGACACCCCATCTCGCCCCACTTTGGACGGGGGAATTTACTCGATGATATTCCACTCACAAAAAAAATAGACCATTCTAAATGAGGCCCTAAAGGGCTGATGGGGTTGCCAGTGAGGAGTAGGAACAGGGTGATTTTTAGTTAGTAAGAGTCTGTCATTTCCTCTCAGAGCATCCAGAGTGATTTGACAATTTTCATAAACAAATAAAACAGCCTTTAGGTACGATTTCCCAGTCATTGCTCAATTGCCCAACGAATAAAGAAATGTTGTACATAATTGTGTAAGTTTGGATCCAACGGTAGGTATCTTTATACCTATCTTTTAGAAAAATGTTTATCTCGGATTAAGAAGTAGGCAAGTAACCAGGATTTCATTCAATTACATAATTGTTATTATATAGTTATTAATAATTCTTCCATGTATGATTAGAAAAAGTAAATGTATTAGATATTGTATGATAAGATATTATTGCCCGCTGCTAGAAATAAACTTCCCAAAAGAGCAAAAAATTAAACGTTTAGAATCCATTAATTTTTTAAAGCAATTATAAAAAATAATTGCTGGCTCTGAGGTTAATGCATGCGTTTCTCTTTTGGAGAGGCTTTAAACTTCTTTTGACTTTTCCTAGTTATATGTACCTACTTATAAAATTTATTTATACTGACCAACGGTGAAGGAATACATTCTGAGGAAATCTTTTTTTTACTGAATAGGGAAAATCATCAAATGACGAAGGGATTCCCACCAAATGGGTTCTCTCACCCAGGTTATGGCGAGAGGGAGTGTCAGACTCTTATTAGCTAAAACCCCCCCGTTCCTTCTGCTGCTCCGGGCCGAGGATGTGGTACTTTATTGCGGTTGACCCGTAACCCCGGCTAAACAACCACCCTTTTGGGCTTTATCTGTAATGGTCTATTGGCTCTTTGAGGCGCGCGCGGAACACTACGCGTCATTCGCTCGGGTCTGGTTCTGGCCGGTCGGCGAGCTACCGTTGCTCGCTTCCCGCAGTTCGATGGGCAAAGATCGTCGCTCGATCCCCGGCGCCTGGAGTGTCGCCTACTGATTCTGAGGAAACCTAGACTTATGATTTCTAATTAAAAGTTTGAAATCTCCTATCAGGTTATAGCAAGCGTGGTGATTAATGCTTAACTTTTCCTCGTAGAAGAGGCCATTGCTTAACAGTTTATGGGCTGCTGTTGATGATGATTATGAACAAGTTAATTAAGAAGATGTGTATAAAAATTAAGAGAGTCAATTTTCTTAAAATTTTAATCATAACTTTTAATTATAATTCTAAAGTTAGTTATAAAATAATATTTGTTTATTATTTTTCTATTTT